ATAAAACTATCTACACAACTAAACAAAACTCGTGTTAGTAACAGGTAAAGTCTCATCATGGCAGACATAACAGTTGACTGAATGAAAATATACTGCGAGATTAATAAAATGATTTCCATGCATCTATAATCTCTCTCGCTGGCACTCACACGTTTAAACACGATAACAATAACGAAATCTCACACTCGAAAACGAAAGACATCCGACAGTTTAACCAGAAAATTGCAATCTTTGTCACCTAAATCAGCAGAGACAGGGAATGAACCAAAGATTTGTGGGACAAAAATAAAGAGGCCAATGACTATCCATACACAGCAGCTTGAACAAAAAACAAAATTACTTACAACACTAAATGACAAATGTTTAAACCAAGCGACCAATATCCTTAATCCTTATGCCACATTCAGATGCCACTCTAAATTAGCCCCACTCAAGCGAACCAAATACGAAACACTCAAACACCTTTAGCCGAATTTTGATGAAGAGAATCGCCTCTTTTACGCATTAATTTTGATTTTAAGCTGATGCTTAAAAACAAAATCAGTTGAGAAGAGGAAAACTTCTCACTTCCATAAAACTCCTTCTGTTGCGTCGTCCAAATCACGACTTGCATAATGCCAAGTAAAAAACACAAGAACACACAGTGTTCATTCCTCTTCAGTTGCGGCTCAACATTGCTACAAAAGAAACTGGCCTCGAGGACAAAGAACTTTCTGTCCAGGATGCGAACCATGTAACATTCAATGAGTTCGCACAACGGCTGTATGACGCTAAAGTGGAAGAAGATGTGTCCGAAGGACTCAACTGCCTCATCGCAACGCACACACTTTGGTGTAACTGTGAGCTCCGCTGCACAGAGCCTTTTGCCGAACCAAAGGGGCATTCCGTGACATCATCGTTATTGAGACACTGCCACACGGACGCTCTATACTACAGACAGCTAAACTCCCCCTTCGTCAACCCGAGCGCATCCCTTAGGGTATCTCGAGCGCCCCGCCACACACACACTTGATATGATGCCTTAGCGGACACTTAATCTGTGTGAAGTCTTTCAGAGCGAGTCGACACACGCGATAAAAGGAGCACTCGGCCCGAGCAGTACGGTGGGCCTCCTCCTCGCCTTCATGCACACTTCTCAAAGCCGGTAATGCTTTCTTAGCGTCTTTTTTCCAGAAGAGGCCCTTACCCACATCTTGCTGACAGATTCAATCCAGGAACTTGAGCCGCAACATCTTTTGACAAATGTCAACGATGTCGGGCATTCCTAGACCACCCTCAGACGGGTGGAAACAACAGACCGGCCGACGCACCGCAGGGGACCTGTCAACTCACAAGAAATGAAACAAGACACGAACCAATAAAGACGGGATTGGAAGTACCATCCTTCATTACCGAGAGCCGGTAAAGAAGGATGGCGGTAAATGTGCGAGGCACAAACTTCCGCCCTCCCCTTTAAAGAAAAACTCCTCCATGCCTAGAGCCGAACTGTAGACTCGGCCTTTTCTCAGACCTCCAACCAATTTTTCTCCAACTGGATGTCGGGGCCAAACCAAACTCCGAGAATCTTGAGAGGCCCGTCCGTTTAAGTGAAGGGCCCGGGAAGAGAGACACCCTTCCATGCACCCAACCGCAAGCCCATAGTCTACTTGCGGTTGACTTTGACTCCTGTCACCTATCACATACCTAATGATTTCCTTTCCAATTTCATCAATCCCGGAATTTCTTTTCCCGAAAGCTCTGACGTCATCGACATAGGCGGAATATCTGGACCAGATTCGCCTTTAACTTGTTCAAGAAGGGCTTCAACGCAAGAATGTACAGCATCGAAGAAAGAGGCTTTGACGAATCGATCTGGCCATATTGAAAGGTTTTGACCTTACTCCATTCACTTCCACCATCGCACAGAGGGGGGGGGGCGGCGTTACAAGATACGGATCCAGGATCGAAAGTCCGACACGAAACTGGCTGACTCGAGGACAACTCCGAGAAATAGAGTATCGCAACTCTATCAAATGCTTTGGACTGATATAGTTTGATCAGCGCGGCATCACTGTTGACTTGTTCTACGACCAAGCGTACCAGATGAAGGTTGCCCTGAATAGTCCGACCCTTCACAGCGCACGTCAATCAGACTAGGCATGACATCCTGAAAACGGTTGGCTAAGACCTTGGACAAAATCTTTAACTCTCTATTCAACATAGTTAAGGGCCGGAAATTATTAATCCCATCCACTCCGTGTTTATTCTTTCCAAGCAACTTGATCACACCTCTAGTGAAGCGTTCTGGAATATTCTCGCTTTTCATCCATTAGTTAAAGACCAGTGCCAGCTGAGGGATAAAACATGTGCGACTGCCTCAAGTAAACCACATAGGGGAGTCAATCGATACCCGGAGACTTGTCTTGACCCACATGCTTCAACGCATTCCAGATCTTTAGTCTTTTCTACAACATTGATGGATTGATTTTCACAGTTAAGATTTCTCATACTAATTTATAATCACAGGAAGAAAAAAAAGTAACAAAATTTTTGAAGGGTCTCGAATAGATTAAAAGTTAAAATTAAATAATAAAAAAATTACTTTAGTAGTTTCTCTTAATAATAAATATGCTCATATTTTTAGGGCGTTGTCTATATAAATGGCGCAGCCACTCGTATTCAAGGATACCCGTCTGTTAGGGTGGCTATCTAATCCCCGCCTGCTCAGGTACATTTTGTGTTTGTTCAACACCCACAGTGCCCACTTGTGGTTTATGCGCAATTATGCTGAGCAGATCTTAATTACATTTTCTGGGAGTGAGCGTGTTATCTGGCGTGATTACCAATCTGAAGAAAGACCCAGACACGCTCAAACCCTCGATCACGATGACTTTGTCCGAGCTTAATTATCGACGATTCCCAAATATTTCCGTCTACCCAATTTCACCCACGGGTCTTGGGTCAACCCGTGGTATGGTTTTCAATCACTTTCCAGAGGTGCCGTATGTTGAGATCGCCTCCTCCAGACTGATAACATCAAGAAGTTACCTTCCTGACAAATCCACCATAGGTCTTATGATCACACACACACACACACACACACACACACACACACACACACACACACACACACACACACACACACACACACACACACACACACACACACACACACACACATATTGTCCAAATCGGGTAACAGCGTAATAATTGTCCATCCCACAAAATATTTAATATCTAAAAATACACTAAACTAATTGAGTTTCTTTTTTCCAGGTTTTCAGTTAAGACGTTGATCAATCTTGACACCATTCATCGTAAGAATCCCTGAAAACCCCTTTGAGTTAGTCAGTTCGAAAGAGATCGGTTTAAAATAATTTTGTGTTAGCCGTACCATGTCTTTCCAAATGAGCAATGGTGAGAGAAAAAAATCATCCAGGCCTTCAGTAATGGTACCAACATTCATACACTGGTTTCCATATACAAAGTCGATTCAAGAACTATCAAGAGAATGATGAAATAAGTTTAAGAAAAGAGGGAACAGTAGAGAGGGGAAAACTGGATCAGGAGGTCACAACAGCAAGAGGGATCATCATTTCAACTTAGTGTTAAATACATTCTTATTGTTCAAAGTAGAATCCAGTAGTGTTACAAAAACCTCGGAGATTTCCAGATATCTTTAATCATTTCTACGATACAACGGTTCAACGCTTAATCTAAGAATGAACAATTTTGCTGTTATACGATTTGGACAATTTTGGTGTTACAGTCGGTATATATATATATATTATATTGGTTTCAGATTACTACCTACCTACCTATATATATATATATATATATATATATATATATATTATTGGTTTCTACCTACCTCTCTCTCTCTCTCTCTCTCTCTCTATATATATATATATATATATATATATATATATATATATGGGGAGGGTCTCAGATGACATTGAAAATACTTGGGAAAATAAAAATTTACAGTAATTTCTTTGAAATGTATACTAAATTATTTTATTTTTTTGTATATGCTTATTTCGTTGTATCTCATATATGATTTTATCTGATGACGGCCTTTTAAATCTCTCTCTACACACACACACACACACACACACATACACATACATACATACACATACACATACACATACACATACACACACATACACATACACATACATATATAGAACCTGGACCATTTCGATACAACACAAACGTCATACCAACTGTAGGACCGGCCTCGGTGACGAAGAAGATGCACAAACTAGACTCGATATAGCGCCGCTAACCGCAGCGATAGTCATCCAAGTAGTATTCAGATAACCTTGGAACCGGGCCCCAAGAGCCACGACTGTTTTTTGACCGAAACGGTCCGTGTTCGATTCTCGGTAGTGGATGCGCACTGCTGATGAATCCAAAAAAGGACGAATCGGCCGTCCAGTGCTTTCTGCATTCTGTTGATGATTATTCTAGGCTCGACGAATTTATAAGGCATATATTATTTATAAATCGTTCTGCTTTCCTAACTATCACGGGAACATAATACTTAAGTATCGATCTGAACGTTGTCTCTTTTTGAAGTCTGGTACATGTTTATCGTTGCTGCTCTGTCTTTATAAGCTAGGCCTACAGCACTGTTGTTTTTATTTAGGTGTGTGTGTGTGAGGGGGGGTCTGCCTTTTGATATTTTGACTTTTTTCATTAGTTTGGTTCATTTTCTTGTTCTCTTCTATAGTTTTTTCCTTAATTTTTGCTATATTCGTTGTTGCTAGAGGTTTCTTTTGGTCACCTCACTGGACTGGCTTTCTATTCGTTGTAACATAAATTTGGACTTGAGTATATATATATATATATATATATATATATATATATATATATATATATATATATATATATATATATATATACAATCTCTCTCTCTCTATATATATATATATATATATATATATATATAATCTCTAATACGTATATGCATATACACATTTAAATAAATAGTCTGAGAGAGTGTTCGTACTTACCATTTGCATGTTGCGAGAAAAAATAAGTAGCAGCAGACGGAACGCCTTAAATGTTAATTCCTGAAAAAACAAAAATAATTTTTAAATGTAGTTCTCAAAATATTTTTCTCAGCCAGCCAACTAAAAATCATTTCTGAAACAGTTTAAATCTGTTTCAGAAATGATTTTTAATAATATATATTTTAATTTTTAAAAACGGTTTACACGTACCATAAAAAATGGTAGCGTATTTACATTATTTTGCAATTACCTTATACATATAGAATATCTTTATATTGCTCTGTGTTTTCTCAGGTTCAGTACTTTCTGAATATTAAAATGAAATTAAAGCTAACAAATATTTCCTTTGCCTTTTCACCTTAGTATAAATGAAACAAAATTATATGTGAAACAATTTTTAATATATGCATATATTTAAACCCATAAAGCCAATCACTATTTAATAATTCCTTTAATACAATATTTCTAGAAGAAACATATGACATTTACATTTAATCTCTCACTTCCATGTAATAGATTCTTCTGGTGATGTAGGAACGTTTGATTCTTTTGGTAATGTAGGTAGGTTTGATTTTTCTAATGATGTAGGAAGGTTTGATTATTCTGGTGATGTAGGAAGAATGATATCGAGATGCCAAATCAGGACCAATAACATTGCAGATTCTTTTTTGAGTTTATCTCTAAATATATAGCAGGAGATACTGACCATATGTAGCAACAATATTCTAAGCATACACGAATGGTAGACTTCTAAATATGTAAGACAGATTCTAGCTAGAAAGATTGTTTAGCACGACACAGTAAAACAAGCTTCCTAGCAGCACAACTAAGAATTAGTTTGATATAATCTTTCCATTTCATGTCAGTAGAAAATGTTAGACTGAGAAGTTTCAACTAGATATTCGCCAGGAGGCTAGCACCAACCATGCTGATGGAAGGAAGTAAATGGTTTTCTCATACCATTAAGAGGGAGCCAGTTTCGTTTTGGAGGCATTCAAATGAACAAACCATTCCTTGCTCTAGTTAACGACTAAATATATGCCATATTTTTTTTTAAATCAGCTGCCAATTTGACGTTTTCGAACCATTCAGACTTACTATTATTTACTATAATAAATGGAAATAGTTGTGTCATCAATATAGATAACGGGTCGAGAACTGATGCCATCAGGAAGGTCACTGGTGTAAAATTAGGTGCAATGTAGGTCCAAAGACAGAGCTCTGGTGGACGCCTGCTTTTGTGAAAAACAAAATGTATATGAGTGGCCGTTCAAGACAGCTTCTTTCCCGATTCGAAAAGAAAAACTGAATCAATTTAAAAATTCGTACAGAAATACCATAACCTTTCAATATGTAAAGAACTGTATGCCAAACACTGTCAAATGCTTTCGAGATAAAGTAAAAGCCCGTATTTTAACATTCTGATCTAAAGCTTGATAGACACTTTCAGTAATAATCGTTAATACATCAGCAGTTGACCTAGAGAAGCGAAAGCTGTATTGCTTATCTCAAAAAAGCTAATCTTTAATCCAAGTACAATTTTGTAATTTAAAATAGTTCGTTGTTAATGTTAATAAATGAACAGTGTACAATTATATTATCCTCATAAATGTTACATGTTTAAAACCAAAATTATATTTACTGCAAAAGTACCTAAAGCACAATGTTTTTTGTGTACATTTTGGATGATCTGAGTAATCCTTGATAGTCCGTAGATGCATCTGTAATTTTAGTCTGCTTATTTCTCGTCCTACTATGAGCAACGTATCATCAGATCTTTTTCTCAATCTATTATATATATATATATATATATATATATATATATATATATATATATGTATACAGACTCAGTATTCCCCAACTGACGCTTTTGAAAAAAAATTTCATCGTATGATTTGTATTTGGGAAGATATTTTAAAATTAAAAATGGGTAATAATTGCATTAGAATCGATTTTTAGCCATGTAAGTGTTTCGAAATTCTCAGAATTAAAAAGTAAAAACGAACGGGAATAATAATTATCCCTGTTCATTTTTACTTTTTGAACAAATTTCGTACATAATATCTTGAATTAGTCCAGGCCGGGTCGGCTCAAGGGTCTCGGCCACATCCCAAAACTATGATACGGAAAAAATAATTTATTTATGTTATGGAAAATAATTTTTTATTCCATCTTTAAAAAATAAACTTCGTTGTTTTTTTTTAATTTCTTACTAACATCAAAAAAGTAAATTTTTTTTATATAGCGAAAACTATAACGAGTGTTATTTTTTCGAAAACTAATTTTCTTAAAATCTTGTTAAAATTCGTAAAACAAAATATTTAACACAACTAATGTTGACCGTTACTCATGCCTGTCTCTTCTAATTTTTATTTAACTAAAGTTCTTTTTTTCTTTTAAAAATAAATATAATATTTGTTACTCTGTCACACACACACACACACACACACACACCACACACACACACACACACACACACACACACACACACACACTCAGAAAACGTTAAAATGTGGCATATTATATATTGAGATTTAGATAAAACCCTTAATGCTTTTAAATACTTAAAACCTTTTTAAAAAATTTCTCAATGTTTGTAAGAACCTTTGCTTCTAGAAAAGATGATTTCAAATTTTTAACTTCTGAAGTAAAGAAATAGAAATCCAGGGACTTGAAAGGATTAAAATTAAGATAAACAGATATAATACATCTAAATTAGTTAACCAAAAAAATGCTAGAACAAAAAAATATGCTGTCTAAACACACACACACACACACACACACACACACACACACACACACACACACACACACACACATTATATATATATATATATATATATATATATATATATATATATATATATATATATATATATGCAGTTACACTTGTAACTACAGAGTAAACAATGTATGCCCCTTAAATGGTAATTGCTTGCAAAATAATGTAATATATTAAGCCACTGTAACATCAGTAGATAACAAAGAAAAATATACATACGAGTAACTGAATTATCTGAATTAAATACGCTGACAACAGATTGCTTTTTAAACATATATGGAAAATTAAAAACAAAAAGAAAATTACACTAAAAATATCATAGAAAATAAGGAAAACAGGATCAGCTTTAATCCAAAAACGTTAAACTTTTCCTGTAGGAGAAAATAGCTAGAATGATCTTCCCAGACCAACACAATTTACTAAATAAACGATGAGAACTTATCTCAAAATATAGACGCAAAAACACTTCATTTATTACATTACTTAAATAAATCGAAAACTAAAAATGAATATATTGTAAAATACAACTATGAAAAATGCAAATATATAGACTATATACAGTGCAGATAATGTAATATACTTTAGGCAATGTCAATACCTTAAACTAAACAAATAAATAACCAACCATCAAGAATACACACATAAACAAAAGTCAATGTAATAATAATAATAAACAACAAATAAATAACCAATAATACATAAAGAGTAAAACAATTAATAAACAGCACTAGAAAATAGTTAAAAATAACTACATTCGTATTCAGAATTATTGCTACTCAATAGAATTCAGAATAGTCTGAACCATTTCCACTTACAAAATAACCGTTAAGATGACACAGAACAGTTTACTATACACAATACTCCATTGACCAGCATATATAAATAGTTAAGCCGAAACACAATATACGTGCTCTGAAGATTGTGTTGAAGCATAAAATAGATTGTCGTTGCTTGGTGTTGACCTCAGCATCCACTTTTATATTTATATTTACATACGCTCTATCTCTGATATAGAGTATTTCAACCAATAAATATTACATACCCTAAAATTATATATTTATCAAACATAGGACTGATCAAGTTCTTCAAAGTGAGAGGCATCGTCCTCCTTGGGTTGTTGCTACACGACCAGATGATCAATCATCAAATCTACAAAAAGATCCAGTGGCGTTTGCTTCGACAGTGCGCATGAAGAGACGAGAGTTGTGGCAGGACAAATCGTTGATCATCAAGGGGATCCGATTTGAAAAACTCAGGTTCGATTTTTGCCGGAGAGATCAAACCTTTCTTAAATAAAATTTCTCGTATATTTAGGCCGGTAGATGAAAACAAATAAATAGATTGTTTAATACATAAGCAAAGTGGCTACTCAAATACGAGTAGACACTAAAAATAACGTTTAAAGTGATATATATATATATATATATATATATATATATATATATGTAGACTACTGATGTTTACAGATTTAGTTTGGCAAAGGCCCACAGTTGTAGGATACTCTGTGAGAAACAAGTTCACAAACGATTCTTGCTTGCTAATCTTCCCTCTACATATTGTAGCATCATTATTGGTAAACTTGAAAGAATCTCAAAGATTATTGTAGAATCAAGATCGAAGAATTGGAAATCAAAGGAAGAAATAAAAACATTCACACCACCAGCAAAACTCACATTTCAATTGCAAAGATTTTATTTTCAATTTAAAAATGCCGCCACTTTTTTATAAAATTTATTGTTAAATATAATTAGATTCACATATACATACATCACCCGGCAAATTATTTTTTTATTCGGTCGAGGTAGCCCGGATATTCCTGAGTCTATCACGCCAAGGTCATCATGAGGGTGGCATTCTGTGTCATAACATAGCGCTTACTTCATGGTTAGGTAACTAGAACAGTAGATAGCTCTTGAGTTCTTGTTTTGCTCACCAACAGTGTCCTGCAAAGTAAATTCAGCTTTCATGTAAAATTGTAGAAATATCAGGGTTTGGTCCATAGAGTTGGATGTTGTCTCCAAGAGATGTTAACTATAGCTCTCAGGTTCAATCAAGCTTAGACTCAATTGTTTTAGTTAATCTCCAAGTAGTGGCACCATACATTAAGAAGGACTCTATTGTGGTTCGAAAGAATCTCTACTTGAAGTTGTCTGGCAGATCAGATTTCTAGATTACATCAATTTTCTACAAGGCGGCTCAGGCTTTACCAATGTAATTTTTTTTTTTACATCCTTTTCATTAGAATTTATTTCGCTCCTTAGTTAAAACATAACAATTAGTAAATTGTTTTCCACTATTCGGTTCCCTTCGATAAATTCCCCCCAACAAAATGTGTCTATTCCAATCGACAACAGCATGATTAAAATAAGTTGGAACGCAGATCTTCAAAAATTGAAATGCAGTCTTGATCATCTCTGTTCTTAATTCGTCTTCTTTTATTGTTCTCTCTGCTTAATGTTTTTCTCTCAAATTATTCTTAAGTAAGCGTTTTAATGGCTTTCTTACCTTACTTGGGGTGAAATAATAATAATAATAAAAAATAAAATATTGATTATACAAAACTACAACTACCGGAATATTGGTAGTTGGGGCTTTTAGGGTACTTAATATATATATATATATATATATATATATATATATATAGTTAATTTATTTGTTTAATCCTTATTTTTTTAAAATAACGATTAAACAAATAAATTAAAAATTTCGGATTAACAAGTGAAAAATCCATTCCTAAAAATTGTCTTTGTTTACGTTAGGATACGTAACAGATCAAATATGTATATTTTGAGAATCGGGAAAGATCTATTATCAAAAGCATTATCCTGGAGAGTGTGCAGGGGGGAGGGGGAGTAAGGCGGCCGTGTTATACCCGATGAACAAAAGTCCCTTTAACAGGCAAGGCAACCAAAATCCAACGTACACACACACACACATATATGTACAAACATCCACATACATATAAACGTACATATCCATATACATACACACACACACACATACATATATATAAGTAGACACACGCATACGCATATATACAAATATACGCATAAACACCCAAGCAAAACAAACATAAACACGGACCAATACACAAATGCGTACTCATCCGCATAGAACAGTGTCCATGCACACACACAAATCCATACGTAAAGAATACATATATATACACAGGTAAATACAAATAAGTGCATGCATAAACACATATACATATATACAAACTACGATTCAAAAATGAGATAAATACCGAATATTCATAAAATGTTTAAAATCAGGGTTAATAAATACTTTTTAATTTTGTGACAAACTTTGAGAAATAACTAGAAAAAAGATTGTTGTATATTTCTCTAAATTTGTCGAATCTTTTGCTTTCTACTTCTTTCCTTTCTTTCGTTTTCCTCTTCTTCTCATTCTTTATTCTTTTTTTTTCCCTTCATCGTCAACATTTAATTCATTTTTGTTCATATCCTAGAAACACCGCAACTTTTTCGCCTGTGAATCCTTTTTTCTTTTTAGTTCATCTTTTACACCCTTCTTGTCTTTAATTAAACCAGACTTTTTATAATCATAAGATAGGCGCCAAACTGAATCAAATATAGATCGGGACTTTTTACTCCATTGATTAAAAAATCACATAAAAAAATCTCTTTAAACCATCTCCGTTAACTAACTTTATTTTGGCTGGTTTTCAGACAATCAGATTCGAGCCTATTTTATTATTATATTTTTATATTATATTTTAGAAATTTTTCGAGCATCAAATTTTATAACCGTCAGCCTTCATTCCGTCTATTTCTTTTTACAACATCAAACTTTAGCCTAACATTAAATTTTACTAAATAAATTTTTATTAACCGTTTGGTTTCATTTTGCTGTTTTCTGTTAAAAATAAAGTCGTGTTAGTAACTTTCTTCTTTTAATAAAAGAAAAGTGGGTTTACGGCCTGGTTAGTACCTAGATGGATAATCGCTTAGGAATTTCAGGTGATGTAAGCCGAGTTCAAATTCCAGTCAGGTTCGTTATATATATTTTAAATCGATTTCACTCTAAGCAAGGCAGTAAAGCCACTGAGACACAAGGGGTTACTGGATGTGGAAGAGTTAGAAAAAAAAAACATTACAGAAGAGTAATCAAGTGGACGGTAGATAGCGATTGACATTCCATTTAAATTTTTGCAGATTAAAGTTGACTGAAAAGCATGGAGCCGGAAGGGAGTTCCAGAAGTGACAAATGCGAGAAAAGAAACTGTTAGCCTAGAATTACATGCAGATCACTTGATAAAGGTGTGGATCCACCTTTTCCCCAGCTATGGGTTAATTAGTGGAACATATATCAGTATATGATTATTATCTAAAAAATTCTTACAATCTAAAAATGTCTTCTGGCTTTAAATAACCTGTAAATGCTATTCCCTTCCCATAAGAAAAAGAGAATGATAGCCAATTCATTAACATTTTCACTATACATAATTTCATTATAACAGAAAACGATCAAAATTTTTATCTAACACATGAATTTTATGCTATTTATAAAATTCTTAAAACAATCCTACGCCATCATAAAAATAACATCATTTCAGAAGAAAACTCATCTGTATATAAATAAACTCAGTTCACCAAGAACTCCGCTGAAGGTTGGATGTAAAATCCATGAAAATCCGAGTACAGATTCCTATAATTTAAGTGAAGTATTTTGTTCCATTACTGCTATATATATATATACTGAGGTTTGAAGATTGAGTTCAAACATGAAACAGACTGTCGCCGCTTGGTGTTGACCAAAGTGTCCATTTTTACATTTACATACGCGCTATCTTCTGATATTAAGTATTTAAATATAGCATACCTGAAACTATATTTTTATCACACACACATAAAATAAATGCAATAAAAGAAAAAAGTATGATGATGCATAAAGTTTAAACAAGCATTTGCAATAATAATAATAATAATAATAATAATAATAATAATAATCTTAATAATAATAATAATAAAATTTACCAAAAATAAATGGAAGAAATCAAAGGAAGTCGAGGCGATTGGAAGTAATTAACCGAAAATCCAACGAAGCTTTACCTAAAGCTTCGAAGTACAATATTAACAAATTATGACGAATATTAATAGATTATGAACAATATTAACCAAAAAGAAAAAAAGGCAAAACAGAAAACAAAACAAAACAAAAAAAAACAAAACATTTCCCTTCAATCTCTGATGAAATATTTGGTAATGATTGAAGCAAACAGTAAATCAAAATAAATAAATAATAATATTAATTAACTATAAATCAGTCATTAGCCAATGTCTTTTTGTTTGTCATCGCACTATTCAAGGACATTTTAAACGAGGCCCTATTTTTTCGTGTTGAATAATAACAACCTGGAGAACATTTTGAATTTTTGAAAAATTCTGAAACATTAAATTTTTTGTCAGGGATTTTCACTTCATTAAACAAGAGAATTAAAAAAAACAAACAAACAAACAAAAAAAAAAAAAACTACTATTACAAAAATTTTAAATTAGATTTAAAATAGTTTTGAAATTATTGAATACTTACCAACGATAAATGCATTCTGTAACTAACTGCATTCTGGCCTCGACTTTAAAACAGTCATTTTCTAATGTAAAATCACGTTTGCGTTCATTTTGTATAGGAATTATTATTGTTACTATTATTATTATTATTGTTATTATTATTGTTAATATTATGAAAATCCAGTTAATAAAATAATTTTCGGTATATGCATGCAGCTGAGACAAATCCTGGGCTATTTTGTTTGTCGTTATTCGTCATTTATCCCCCGGATATTTTTTACGACGGATGTGAAATTCTATTACTGGAGTGGATACGAAGTGTTTGTGAACTTATAAACAAAGGATATGTGTTTTCTTTACAGGATATTTTAAACTAGCCTACGCACCAGAAACATCAGGAAACGTAGAGAAAATTGAATTGGTTGTTATTTTAAGAAATTGAAAAAATAAACAAAATAAAAACAAAACAAACAAAAATCGAAAACAAACGAAAAACAAAAAACTAGACAAAAGTTCATATATACAAACATATTGCGATTAGAGCAAGTGACCTCGGACAGTAAGGAGAGAGAGAGAGAGAGAGAGAGAGAGAGAGAGAGAGAGAGCGCTCTCGTTGTTTCACTGACATCAATTACTTTGAAACGGTCCTGTCTTCAGTACCTGAAGTACCTGAAGGAAAACAAGAACAAAGGTAAGACTATCATCATCATCATCATCATCATTATCCTTCACTTTGTCTAGAAACCGTGACCCTTGGATCATTTGTGACTCTGTCTACAAATCACTGGTAAGATTCAAATGTCATATCTGACATAAACACTTGAACTGATTTAATTGTTGGACACTCATATGTCGAAATCAGTGGGAGCGGCCATCATATATTTAAATTACAATTGCTATATTTATGAAAGATAGTGCTTAATATGCTGGGATAGAGAGCACGCGCGCGCACACACACACACAAACATTGATTCGGTACCTGTTACTTCGTTGACTGTAAGATGATTAAATTTCAAGTTGTCTATTCATTATATATAGGATTACATTTATTAGAAAATATATTAAGTTTAAATATAGAAGGAGTCAAGTGATTTCAAGGAGCCGCACATTTCTATCTCTCGTCTTTTCGTGTTACCCCCAAGGTTGTTAGACAGACATGGAAATTAGCACTTGTAGGAGGTAGTGTAGAAAAACGAGAAGAAAGAATTAAACATCAACTGCAAGCAGACAGGAATGCACGTTTGTTAGCAAAAGATGAGCCCAATGTACGAATTTCAAATCAGAGATAGCAAAATCAATCAACTTACAAAAATTTAAATATCTGGGAAGGGTTTTAACAGGGGATGGAAAGTGCTCCAGAGAAAAAAAAACCTGAAGGCGGGAAAAATGAAGATGCATACCAAATGTTAAACACAGTATTAAGAAATAGAAAAATTCTTTAGACACAAGGAAAGAAAGTCCTGAACTAAGATGTGATAACTGTCATCCTGTATGTCAGTGGATGCTGGGTAATCTTCTCAAATCTGAAGAAGAGACTTGAATCAACAGAAATTTGGTTATACAGGAAGATACTGAGGATAACATGGACGGAAAATGCGATCAACGACTAAATTTGAGAGAAAATAGAAACAAAAAGGAAACGTAAACTTAATATCAGGAAGAGAGAGTTGCAATTTGTAAGGCATTAATGAGGAAAGACGGGTTGGAAAATTGGATACTCACAGGGCAGATTAAGGGAAAGAGGGACAGAAGAAAAGAATACATAACATGCTTTATGAACTTGAGTAAATGGTGAAACAGGGTTTAAGAAAAAATTAAAAAACGACAAAATTTATTAACAACTACAAAAGAGGAGAAATAGTGGAGAGCCATGATCGAATAAGTGATGAAAGGACACGGCACATAGAAGAATGAGCTTTAGTAAATAGATGTTGAGAGAGGATTAAAAGAAAAATAACAGAGCTACAAAGGAGAGGAAATTGTGGAAAGCCATTGTGGAATATGTTCTAAAGAGACACGGTTCATAGAAGAAAAGAGACATTTTGAGGAAATGGATTTGTGGAACTGGGTTTAAAAAAATAATATAAAAGTTCAAATTTATTAAGAGCTACAAAGGAGAAGAAATTATAGAGAGCCATGGTCGAATGTGTTCTGGTTGGAAATAGCGCATAAAGGAAAGGAAAACTTTATTTCTATATTTTTAAACGAACAAGTTGCGTTGTGGCAGGATGACTGAGCTAATTTAGTTAAGAAACTGACTCTCCTAAAACGGATATATATATATATATATATATATATATATATATATATATATAGTATACAAAAACATAATATCGATAGTACTGAAGTGAACTGGTCTCTTCGTAAAAAAAATATTGACATTTTTAATAGATCTAAATCCACCTTCTTCTATCGATTACATTGATCAGAATCGAAAACTATTGATTTTTGATCATTTTTGTATAAATTTGACACTCTATTGATGCTAATAATCAATATTTTCTGATGCTGACAAATGTCATGAGCAGAGGAGTGTTGAATCAATAAAGGTATATCTTCAAAATATAGACATAAAATTCTTTTTCCTATATTTTTCGAGCGGTCAATTTTAACTCCATTATGGCAAAAAATTCCGAACTAATAATGGTGACTATATTAAAAAAATAAGTAGTAGCATTTTTTAGTTGAAAACTATTTCCCTCGCTTTATCTGTGCCGTGCCTACAAATATAACATAACGTGAAGAAATATTTTTTTACATAGGCGAAAAGGGAAACCATATTGAAATAATCCTTTATTTATGGACATATTAACATTTGTTTTTAGATTGTAAACATTATGTTTGTTCTGGTGGTAAAAAATCAACATTCAATAGTTCAAATGTTCGACAAAATTTTTCCTTTATTATAAAGGGTAGTCGTAAAGTCATATGCCTTAGTCAATATAAAGTGAGTATATATGTGCGTGTGTCTGAAACGCATTTAAGCAGAGTGTATGTGTGGCTGCTGACTGAATGCGTCGGTGCGTGCGTGAAGAACGTTACTAGAAACGTTGTGTGTTTGTGAGTGCTAATACGTGAAATCTGATTACGATGGTTCCAAAAGTAAATGGCCATGCAGATAGATGATCAGATTTACTTTTTCTACGTCTATGAATATTTCTTTGAGTTGTCTGAATATTCCCTTGAATAGTGTGTAGTCGTCGCTGACTGAGGTGTTGTAATGGTAACGAGATAATTCTGGTCAGGTGTTTATAGATCCAACCACTTGTCATCGACGGGTGATTTACGTCCCTCTGCTGACTGAGTTTTTGCTGCCTATCTTTTTATTGCCTTCCAAATCTGTATATATATACATATAGTTATTCTGATCTCGTCATCGGACCCAAAAGAAAGCTTTTCGGTGGACCCGGCGACTAGTTAATTTAGAGTTCAAATGTACAGATCGTACTTATTTTTTTATTTATATTTCACCTACATAGGGCCATGATAAGTTTTTAACCACCCTTGATTACAGCAATTTTTTCTTCTTTTTTTCAGATAATACCGTGTTACATCAAAGCTACTCTCATCTATGAACGATAGTTGACTTATATTTTGCAATGAAAGTTCGCGGAAGTTAAGGAAATTGGTGAATTTCAACGAGGACAATTAATAGGATTACATCAGTGTTGGAAGTTAAATAGAGAAATTGCTAGGTTTTTCCACGTTAATCATCAAACCCTTAATAATATTGTCAAGAAATTTAATGAAGAAGGCCATTGCAATGTGGAACAATATTCAGGAAGACCAAGCATCGTGTCTGAGTGAACGAAAAGGGTGCTGAAGATGGAAGTCATCAGAAACCAGCTTCAGAGTGTCAAAGATGTTGTCAACAGCATGGAAATATCGCCATATATGGTGAGAAAGATTCTGAAAGAGCAAGGCTATCAAAGAAGAGTTGCAAGAAAGAAGCCCTTGATTTCAGAAGTGAACAGGAACAGGGGTATGGAGAGAATTCGAGAGCAAAGATTATCAATTTTGGCAGTCTCTAATTTGGTCAGATGAAAGTAAATTCTGCCAATATTTGAATTCGAGACAGGTTTATCCTTGGAGAAATCAGAATGAAACTTGAAACATTGAATGTCTGCAGGAGACCGTGAAACATGTCGGGATTGGTGTAATGGTGTCGGGGAGCTGTCTGGTTTGGAGAGAAATCTGAGTTGATTCTTGTTGACGAGCGGTTGAATGGTCCAAAATACTGTCAAATATCAGAGAAAGGACTACTCCTACTATTTGAAATCAATCAGATTGACAAGAATGTCTACCTTTTTTCAAGAAGATTGAATGCCATGTCATACAAGCAAAGTAGCAAAGGCCTGGAAAGAATCGCAAGGAATCAAGTCACTGCAATGGGGAGCCAAAAATCCTGACATGAATCCCATAGAGAACGTTTGGAGCACCTTGACCGAAGACTTCGAGAGCGTGCAACGAAAATCACATCAGTGGCAACCCTTAAAGAAACATTGCTAAACGAGTGGCAAAATATGGATCAGACAACTGTTGATAACTTGATCAAATCCATGAATAATCGAATGCAAGCATTGAAATTAGCAAATGGAGGACCTTCTCCAGACTATTTCCAAAGACTGTTTGTTTATGTTGAATAGGGATTACGTAATTAAATTTTGAAAATGGATGTAGTTTCTCCTGGCTAAAAACTTTTCTTAGGCCACTGTATTGGTTGTAAAATTTTATATCGCTTAAGTAATTTATGGGATAGGTTCCTTGAATTAAATAATTTGTCGAACATAGATTAGAAAAGGCGATAGAGTCGAACAAGTCATCTTACTGAGCTTAGCGATGACCTACTTTGATATAAAGTCAATAGAAATTTGACGTTTCTATTTGAGCGTTTCATTGTCATCTGTAACAGATTAGATATATGCCTAAACATGACAGATAAGTTCTGCTTGATTTGACTGAATCAAAACGGTGAAAGCTGCACCCGTGTCTATGCATTTCGTTATACTTGATCAAATTACGAACTGGTGAGGAAAAAAGAAAGTTTACAAATATCTAAGGCGATGTAGACGAAGGCTTGGCTGATGTGAACAAATCAAAATTGAAAGAAAGAGTTTGGCTAAATTTTTGTGTGGTTCATTTGAACTTCCTTAACAATCAACGGTACGATTACATTAGATATTGTTAACAGAGGATTTAACAATATCTATGAAAGGAAGTTAACTCAGTGTAATTTAATCGCAAAGTTTTGGTGTTGTATCAAGATAATGAATATCTTCATACAACAAGACACACATCTGAAATTGACGAAGATCTTGAAGGGAAAAAAAATGACACTTTTCCTATTCTTCAAATATTTGCTCAATCTGATTGCCATTTATTCTTGTGTTTGAAGAACATTCTTGAAGGACAGATGCTTAAAATTGAAGAACAGGTGAAAACTTTATTCTTTTCCTCCAAACTAGAAGACCAATTACAGAAACGTCATGTGAGTGAATATTATTAAGAATTATGAAAGCAATGTTAATGAAGTAACTCGAAATAAATATGAATTTTGATATTTTTTATGACATTATTTATAGGATGACCAGATAAAAATTTCTGTCCAGAAGAAAAAATAATGAAAATATAAAAACAAGATTTCTAATTTTTTGCCTAAAATTTATTTCCGTGAATTGAAAAAAAATGTTCCTGCGAATTGAAAATGAGAAAGAAAGGGATTGTCAGTGGAAAATAAGGGATTTCTGGGATTATCAGTGGTCAGGAAATAATGCAAGGATTACTCATAGAATAGGATAATGGTATGTATAATGTAAATACATTGCTAATGATTTACAATGAAAATGCATTACAAATGAAGAAGAAAGTGATCTATGGTTAGGAATTAATCTAAAATTGATTGTCAGAAGTGTTATAATTATTAATTATTATTATTTCCCATATAATTCTAAGCAAAAATAACGCATTCTAAGCAAAAATAACACATTCCTTGTTGCAGTGTCTTTAACGAACTCGCACTATTCTTCCCCTATTTCCGGTCTGATTCTGCTGCACACTCTATTCATCAGAATTCGGATGATAAGTTTTGTTATATGACTCATTAGAGGTTGTCTAATGGAGTTCACATTCGTTTGCACCTGGCTTTTTAGGCAGCGCTATGAAAATGGATTTAATTAGGTCTTCTGGTATATCAGCACCGTTGTATATTTTGTATTTTTGTTTGCGATCTTGTCAGTAACGAAATCATTTAAGACTGCCAGCATCTCTATTCCAATTCCGTCTGGCCCTTCCACTTTGTTTCTGTTCAATTTGGCCAGTGTTCATTTCAATTCAGATTTTAATATTTCTTGTCCTTCGATATTTCTCTGTATTCACGGTTATCCCCTTTTGTCGTGGAAGAATTCTTTGATGTATTCGTTCCATTTCTGGAGTATTTTTCATTCACACATATGAGTTTCCCGTCCTTGAATTTTAGGCATCCTGTTGACAAGCATTTTAATTGTCCTCTTAGTTCTCTTATTAGCTATTCTTTCTATTTCTGTCCATCTTTCTTTTAACCATTCCTTTTTAGCCCCTCTGCATTTGTTCCATATATTATGTGACTTAGCAATGTATTTAATTACCTTTTCATCATATCGAGAATTCTATTATCTATTCCTTTTTTTTTTGTTTAGTTTTCTTTGGAATGATTTCGATTGCTGATGTTATTAAAGCTTCACTTAATGTGCCCGACTTCGAATTTCATTGGTATTCTTTAGCGTACAGTAAAAATGTTCAATTTCATTTGTACTTTTTGCTGTTGGTGTATATACAAGTATGGTGTATATTTTGAAAGGCTTACCTTTTCAATCGGTGTAATATGCTTTAATTGTATTTCTGCATCCATTTGAAACTCTATTTTGAATTTGTTGGCTTCCTTTATTACAGAATAAAGGCGCTTACAACTTTCATGTTCTTTGACACATATCCTCATCCAGTCTTTTGAGGTTTACAGGTATCTTTGAAGGCCAATTGTTGTAGTTTTGCAGGACAGTACTAGTTGTACTAATCCTCTGCCTCCTTCGGATCTGGGCACATACAGAAGATCAACATCATCTTTGGGATGATGCATGCTGTAGCAAGTGAGAAGCTTTCTCGTTTTGGCGCCCATTCGCTTAATGTCAGCTATGGTCAAATTAAGGTTGTTAAAGCTGTATTGCACCACAGGGGCAGCCAAGGTGTTTATGGCTGATATTCTGTTTTTGAGTTCAGATTATTATTATACCCACTTCTACTCTAACAGTTTTCTTTCTCGCACTTCGCGCCTGTGGAACTCCCTTCCGTTTCCTTGCTTCCCTGATAACTACCATCTTCAAAATTTAACTGCAACATTAATCACGATTTTCTGTCTTCTTGAACCCCATCCAGCTTTTATCCTCTCCCCGATCCCCTCTATATCCAGTCTTTTTTCTCACCTTCACCCTCTGTAATACCGTGTGTACTAGTGGCAATCCCGCCTTGCTTGGAGAGAAAGGATTAAAAAATTATTCAAAATAACTTTTTACCTTAAATTTCTCTATTTCTTAATAGTGAGAGAGGAATATCACCATTTAATTTCGTTCAGGGCCAAAAAGTTTCATCGATGATAATCATAAACTTGAATTTAAAAATAGAAACATATATTTACATTGTTCAAGATGTTGCCCTCAGCATTATTGGCATATCCAGGACGTTTAGGGCGTTGCACGCCCTGGCCTTCTTCAGGTGATATACGTTGAAATGTCGGACCGAACGCTTTATTTTCTCCACTGGGGTATATTGTTATAGTTCCACGGGCCATGCCTTTTCCGGATATCCCAGTTTCAGTTACCTCCTTTATATATATATATATATATATATATATATATATATATCGGGGGCCGAGTTCCCTTCATCACGCCTTTTACTAAATTTAGTACTAAGTAATTGTTGGTGTGCCTTGTGATGTGATGGATATCGGCTCGGAAAGAAAAATCGAGTTTGAATTCCAGTCGAGTTCATTGGATTCATTTACGCACAAGTACCTTTGGAAAAGGCATGAATCCATCACATCTTCCTTTAATTAAAGAACGTATAGCAGGATAGGCTGGTTGGTAAACAGACTACCGCAGCAAGAAATTAATGCGGGAAAATCCTTAAACGCTCTCTGACAACACAGTTTATTTTGTGCAGCAGCTGTTTATCTGTTAAATAAGTTTTTATTTATGTTTAGTCTGAATCAAAACGTTTACTTCATCCTCGTCAAATATAATGTCCACTTACGAGGGAAATACTTGACCTGAAATCATTCCAGGATTTGCAAAAAGATTTAGGCACACCCAATAAAATGATCGGATGTGTAAAAAGAATTGTATGGTCGTCATTATGTCTGTAGCTTGACACTTAACTACAAAATGAATTTTGATCAATAATCTTTACTGTTTAATTTGAGAGGAGTCAAAGGAGAATGTAATAGAAAAATAGAAATTGCTGCATGGAAGAAATGGTTCACTTGGTGAATCTCTGTACAACATTTTAACAAAAGGCAACACAATGAATAAACAAATCGATCGACCCAGTTTTATAAACGCATAAATAAACATTGTACATCAAATTTTGGTTTAAATTTCTTTGACGATGAATAAACGTTTTGATACACTATTTCTTTCGAATTCGACTCATACTGGTTGTTAAGCTCACTATGGTAGTCTGTATTAGATTGAAAATATTCGATATTGAAATGTAAAGAGAGAGAGAGAGAGAGAGAGAGAGAGAGAGAGAGAGAGAGAGAGAGACAAACAGACAGACAGACAGACAGACAGACATTATAAGTATAGACAGTGTGAGTATAAGAATCAATGCTGCATGGTGACTGTCAGTTTCACGGCCGGTGCAATCTTCTCAACAAGCTTGAGGCAAGAATCTGACAACCACAATACAGTGTTGATTTGTATATCTATCTATCTATCTATCTATCTATCTATCTATCTAGTAACTCTTAAAGTTTTAATAAGGTTACTTTTTATTTGATTTACTATAACGACATGTGTAGGTGTTTCACTTTGTAGTGTATTATGAATTGGTAGTCTTGATTTCAGTCCATCGATTGCAATGGTATCTGACTTGATATGTATAATCAGCTTTTTATCCATTTTGAAGGAAGGCTTTATATAATCATTGATAAATTTACACAGATTTCTTTAGTGTGGCATTCTGTAAGAAGAAGTGAAAGAGTTTTTGTTGAATATAGTGATGTATAAAGGTAACACGTGTTGGGGTAAATTGAAAATGCGACATTGTGTCTTTTTTTTAGATTTGTTTAGTTGATACAAAAGAACTGATCAAGAAGATTGAAAGTGCTTTCGAAAATGAGTTGACAAAGGGTTCACCCTAAATCTCTCTTCACAATATTTGGAATTGAAAATAGTATTAGAGAAAAAATAGTTAATCAATTATTTTCGTTAGGTTGAGTAGGCAATATTGTTTTCATTTGTCGATGCAATTGCTCAATCAATTCCTTTGCGCAATTATGGTAGGTGATTATCTTAACGTGTTTTGTGTCGAGTAAATTAGTGAATATAGTGGACGGGAACCTAGTTCTCATATTTGGCCCTCCATGGGAAGTAATCTAAATGCGTAATAGCATTAGTACAGATATCTGCTGATATAGATTCTTTTAGAAAAACCGCGCGTCAACGCAAATATCTATCGATGACAGTCGATATGTACATTGCTGGCACGTTAGAAGTTCAGTGATATAAGGGATCGTCAAAATAATCGTATCGGTTCAATAAAAGAAGATTTTGTATGTATAATGAGAATTTTAACATGGCAATGAAAACGAGATAGTAAACAATACCAAAGAGTAGTACAAAAATACACAGCATTAAACAAGAACATCAGAAATAAATGCAAGCAAGCAAAAGATGAATGAGCCAACGAAGTATGTGAAAAAGATAGAAATACTGAACAACATAGAGAAGATCTACATAAAATGAGAAAATGATGCCAGGAAAGAGACGTGCTTCTTGACAGGATGCCTAAAATCTAAAGAAGGGGTGCGCAAAGAAGGACAAAATGTCTCGAATACATTGGAGAAGGAAACATTCTACAATACACAAAAATAAGGAAGGACATGAAATATTAATATCTGATTTAAAAACATCACTGGCTCTAGTTGAAGGCAATAGGACCAGATGGTATTGGAATATATCGAGTGTGGAAAAGATAAATACGGATAGAAAATGATGTGAGGAATTACTCGAAAATAAAAAAAAGGGTGTAAGAAATAAATAAAAAATAAAATAGAAAGGGCTAGAATTTTCCGCCAACATAAAGTGGAAAGATTATATTGAATTAAGTGTTAGGTTTACTGAGAGGAAAATTAATTCATTGTGCTGTGTTAGACAATATTTCTCACAAGAATCTTATAAATTTATAAGTCAACTATTCATCTTTGATTTAAATATTGCTGCCACATTTGGCATGGTGCTTTTGCTGTATATTTAGAGATTCTTGATTAAATAAAAAAACGAATCTGCAATGTTATTGATCCTGATTTGGCATCATGGCTTCAGTCATTTTCATACCATCGTAACGTAACTTCCTTGTGCCTTTTCTATAATTACTTACAGGATAATTATTTGAATGATTTCTTTGTCATGGTATCTAGACTTTATGAATTTAAGCGTAGAAATAGATTGGTGGCAAAGCCTCATCATGGTACCTAGACTTTATGAATTTAAGCGTAGTACTAGATTGGGGGCAAAGGCTAATCATGGTACCTGGACTTTATGAATTTTAGCGTAGTACTACATTGTGGACAAAGCCTCATGCTACCTAGAATTTATGAATTTAAGCGTAGTACTAGATTGGGGACAAAACCTAATCATGGTACCTGGACTTTATGAATTTAAACGTAGTACTAGATTGTGGTCAAACCCTCATCATGGTACCTGAAATTTATGAATTAAATCGTAGTACTAGATTGGGGACACAGCCTAATCCTGGTACCTGGACTTTATGAATTTAAACGTAGTACTAGATTGGGGATAAAGCCTAATCACGGTACCTAGACTTTATGAATTTCATGCTAGTACCAGATTGTGGAGAAAGAATCATCATGTTACCTGGACTTCATGAATTTAAGCGTAGAACCAGATTGCGGCGAAAACCTCATCATGTTACCTAGACTTCATGAATTTTAGCGTAATACTAGTTTGGTGGCAATGTCTCATCACTTTACAGTTGAAATTGCTAGATATAACCGTAAGTTCTATTCTAACTCTTTCTTCTCTCGCAATTCTCGGTTGTCTTCTGGCTTCTTGCTTTCCTGTCAACTTTGACCATCAAAAATTGAAATTAATCTTTATCTTCTATCTTCTTATTTCCTGTTCTTTTATTGTTCTCTCTACTTAATAGTGTCATTTTTTTATCATATTCTGTCATATTCAGTAACCCCCTTGTGTCTTAGTGACTTTATTACCTTGCTTGGTGCGGAATTATTAAAAAAGAGAAGAAAAAGATAATGATGCGTCTTCTTACGAGATTGATTTAAACCCTACATCGAGACAAACGTAATGTTATTATAACTTCTACCATGATTTATTGATTGCTGGTCAGAATCATAACAACAGAAGATACGCAAATGGGAACATATTGATGACAGACACAAAATGAAATCTCCTAGAAAAGATATGTAAGGAAAGTGGGAAGAAGGGAAATATCCCAAATTATAAGAAGATATAATGGGTTTGGTTTTCAGCAAAAGGAACAAGATCAGAGTTACAAATTGGAGGAGGCAAAATCAAGCGAGTATAAAAATTTTAATATCTGGAAAGTATTTGAATAGAATTTCAAGAGAAATGTGATATTGAAATCCGAAAGTGCCTTCCAAAAGCTAAACAAAGTATTAAGAAACAAGAAAATTCATTATAAACAAAGAAAATGAGTGCTGTTCTGCTATGTAACATCATTTGAAGAGGAGACTTGAAGACACAGATATGTGTTTCTAGAAAAGGATGCTTAGAATACCATGAACGGAGCATGTAAATAACAAGGAGGTTTTAAGGAAATGGGAAATCATAAGGACATTTATACTTAGAATCATAAAGAAACAATTGTAATTGTTAAGACATATAATTAGGAAAGAGGGTCTGGAGAATTTGACACTCATAGGACATACTGAAGGCGCGAGGGACAGATGAAAACAGTAACTAACGTTATAAGTATGCTTGTTTGGATGACGGAACATAAAATGGGAGGGATAGTAAAAAACAATCATTCCTAATAGTTACAAAAGATAAGAACCTCTGAAGAGCCATGATCGCTTTAAGGGCCACAGCACAATGAATAAGAAGAAGCAAAAAGAAAAACCAATATATTAATAAAGAAAAAAAAAACAACAACAATATTTTAATAAAATTACTCCGAAGGCAATTGCAGACATTAAAGATTATGGAAACTTAAAACCGAAATAATCTCCTCTTTCCCATTTTATTAAGATAATTCACATTATCTTTGGCACCAGGACATTTGTTTCTTACATGAGAGACAAATCTGAATTGCGAGTAAAGTTTTATTCTTTCAAGTCAAATTTTTTTAGCATAGAAAGTTGTATATGAATGAGCGTTTTCCTAAATACGACATGATCGTACAGGATTTGTCATTTTTTAAAACGAGGAAATAGTTGCCGTAATTTTAAAATATTTTTATTTTCCATGTTAATATTTCATGATATCCGCATCACTACATTTTTATTGGGCGGTGCCAATAATTTTGACCGTCCCTGTGTATAAATGTGCAGTTGTGGCGTCTGGGTTGCCGAAAGTGTCTAGTGTTTTTCAGTGCATCTGTTACATGTTTGATTCAAGTCTTTAATATCTGTGGCTGTAATGGACCGCTCAAATGTTCGTAAGTTTTGTTGGTTTGTAGATGCTTCTATTTAAATATTTTAAGATCTTATTGGTTAAGCAGGCTGAATTATATTGTCCATGTTTACCAATAAAGGGTTCACAGTGATTGAAAGGAGTTAAGATTTGTGTAAGTCGTAGACATGTAAGAGAGAGAGAGAGAGAGAGAGAGAGAGAGAGAGAGAGAGAGATTTACGACGACGTTTCCGTCGTTGTACGTCCTGGCTTCTTCAGGACATGTCTATATTTCTGAGATGAGGTATTGTGACTATTTACATTATTTACATTGTTTAGATTGTTGTCTTCATATTCATTGTCATATTCACGACGTTTCGGCCGTTGTACGCTCCTACCTTCTTCTGGATTACTTTAACCAATGCTTTTATCCACTTGACTCAAAGAGTTGTGAGTTCAATACCAGGCCACAGCAGAGGTGAACAAAACTTGGAGAGTTGAGTTACTAAAGGGAAATAACTGAAACTGCGATATTCGGTAAAGGCATGGCACGTGGAACTAGATCAATCTACCCTGGTGGACGAAATAAAGGGTTCGGTTCGAAATTCCAACGTACTACATCTAAAAATGGTCGGAGCGTACAAAGGCCGAAACGTTGTGAATATGACAGCAAATATGAGGACAATAATCCGAACAATGTAAATCGTGTAAATAGTTATAATATCTCATGTCAGATATATAGGCAGATCCTGAAGAAGTCCGGATCGTACAATGGACGAAATGCTTTCAGTTCATACTGCCTCTTCTGAATGTAAGAAGAGGCAGTATGAACAGAAACTGATATCACACACGCACTCACACACCATCACCTCATTCAGTAAAACCCCATCTAGAGTGGCTCTCAAGTCTTTTTTCCTTCAGACAAGTCATTCCCTAGTTGGGTAAAAAAACAGTCTGGAAAAAAAGGCTTCATAAACAAAAAATCACATTGTCTTATTCTTCCAATGGAATATCGAAATATATAGAAAAATATTTTACGCTCATTTTGGGGTCGATGGCGAGGGAGAGACAGAGAAAGAGAAAGAGAGAGAAAGATGGAGTGAGAGAGTGAATGACAGAGAGAACGAGAAAGATGGAAGGAGGAAGATAATGAGAGAAGTGGTAAAGGATGAGTGTTGATAGTAACGATAAAAACTGTTCTTTTCAATTTGTTCTCTTGTCTGAACATGAAATTCCGGGGTCATCGTCTTGATTAGAGGTTATTGCGATGTTGCTATTTCATTGATAATCAGTCAATGATCATCGACAAAAGATAAGATAAAAATTTAATCTTCTCTCGAATATTTTCTGGTTTCATCAGAATCACTTTCTCTTGTCATCAAATCAAGCAAATATGGCGCGCTTTATCCCAATGATTTTCCTATTGTACGTAATCAAGTATTTCATATCTGCAGGTAAGTTTATCATTAAATTAAATTTTGGGGAGAATTTCTTTAGAAGAATCATTTTTATCAAAATATTCAACTCTATATAAATCATTCAGGCGGGAACAGGCTGAAAGTGTAATTCTCACTAAGAGAAGAATATTATGAAAACATTACGATTGTTATATAAATATTATTGTCTTTAAAATATACTTTTCTCATGAGTTGAAAATAATCTTATTTTAACTTTAATATTTCCATCTGTATTTTTATCAGTTATGAAAGACAATCATTGTGAGACATATCAACTTTTATTTCCTCACTAACCCCCACTCATAGGTGAATGGATAACATTTCAAGATCTTATTCTTTTTCAACATGTGTTCGTGCTATTTTTTTCCTTTTAATAACATTTCTGATTTTGTTATATTTTTGTAGTAATTAATTCACAGACTAAGAATATAGCATTATTATGATATTAATGAAAAAAATGTCAGTAATTAATTCAATATTAAATATTTCATTGTCTTTTGTTACTCTTTTCTTCTAATGGTGATTGTTGGAGAAGAGAGAAAACATTTCGTATAAAAAGAACTTAGAACGAATCAGACTCTGAATAACGTGCCTTCATTTATATTCTCAAGAGTAATATTCTATCCTGTCTTTAAACTTCTTACCACCAACAGTAGATTTCAAAGGAGATCAAGTGACAACAGGTCTTCTTACTACGACAACATTCTGCTCAATATTCCAGTTGATTTTAGAAATGTTGTCTTCTAAATAATTCTGATTAATCCTAAGATTATTTTAATATTTTTGCAAGACTCTTCGGAATTGTTCCAGATCCTCATATTATAATAGGCACAATCCTCACTTTCATGTTCCACAATATTTTCAATTCACTGAAAAGTTAGAAATATTTCTCCAACATTTTACAATCTTTCAGTTTTACTCTGCGTTTTCCTGGAGAACGACGTCCATTATTTGATAAATTTTCTTTTCCATGTTTACAAGGACTAGATCCACTTGACTTATGAGAAATTTAAGCTGCTTGATCGTGTATCATCTGCTATTTTGAGAGAAAACAGACGCTGTGTTGGTCTGTTGCTTAAACATTTGGATTTCAAAAATATTTTGGTACATTTCGATTTGTGGGAAAATAAATGCGTTTGGTTTTCATTCGGAACCAATCAAAAGGTTTCCCTCCAAATTCCGAGAAGCGAAGCTGGAGTCTATCTTGGTGAATAAAAACAGAAGCAGAATTGAATTCATGGAGTCGACCAAAAGTTGTTGCATGAACCTAGGCCGGCCTGATCAAAGAAAAAGGTGTAATCGTTTTGTTCTTAGCTGCTACCACAAACTTTGCTTGGAAAATTGGACCAATACTTTGTAAATTATTCCGAGACGTATTTCCCCTTTATTTATTTCATTTAGTTTACCTTTTCTGAGGATCTTATGCAGGATTGTAATTTTTATTGTAAAAGAGGCATATTCTATTTCCAGTGATTATTTGTACATACATATTACTGGCACAGAAAACACTTAATGAGAGTAATTCTTTCATTATTGTATGATCATAAATTTATCGTCTGTTTTTCTTTTTCCAAACTCGGCCCATGTCGTCTGTCTTTGTTGTGTGCCCTTAAATGTTACCTCGAACTTTTGTTTGAACTATATTTTTTTGTTAGGGATATTTTTACAAAATAAAAAAAAAACATTTAAGCTAGACTAGATTCGAAAATCTGTTATATTGCAGTCACAAAGTATTTTGTATTTTTGATAAACTTGGGCTGCGACTACTTATGCATATGCCATTGTTTTGCATAGATTGTGCCCACGGTTCGTGCATATGTGTCTGATTTGAATGTTCTGTGCATAAGCCAGTATTTTGCATAAATTGTACCCACGGTGTGGGCATATGCCTCTGATGTAAATGTTCTCTGCAAATGCCATAATTTTGCCTAGTTTGGGCCCCCCGGTATGTGCATAAGCCTCTGATTTGCATGGTCTACGCATATGCTATTGTTTTGCATAGATTGTGCCCACAGATTGCGCATATGACTGTGATATGCACGTTCTCAGCATAGTTTTGCATAGATTGTGCTCAGTGTTTGTGCATATGCATCTGATTGCATGTTCACTGCCTATGCCATTGTTTTGATTTGTTCATGCCCACGCATTGTGCATATGTCTCTGATGTGAATGTTCTCTGCAGTTGGAATTATGTTCCATAGATTTGCCCAACGGTTTGTGCATATGCATTTGATTTGAATGTTCACTGCATATGCCATAATTTTCCATTGTTTGTGCCCAACGGTTTGTGCATATGCCTCTGAATTGAACGTTCTCTGCTTATGCCATTATATTGCACAGTATATCCCCACGGTTTGTGCCTATGCCGCTGATTTAAATGTTATCTGCAGTTGCCATTACTTTCCATAGTTCAGGCCCAGAGTTTGCGCATATTACAATGATTTGAATTCTCTCAGCATATGCCATTGTTTTGCATAGTTTTGCCCACAGTTTGTGCCTATAACACTTATTTGAATGTTCCCTGCATGTGCCATTGTTTTGCATAGTATGTTTCCACTGTTTGTGCCAATGACTCTTATTTGAATGTTCCCTGCATGTGCCATTGTTTTGCATAGTATGTTTCTACTGTTTGTGCCTATGACTCTTGTTTGAATGTTCTCTGCATGTGCCATTGTTTAGAACTATTATTTCTATGCACCTTGTAGAAAACTCTTTCGCCAACGTTATACCGTTTTTTTGTTATTGGTTTTTTGAGGTTTGGCCTATCCTGGTTTGGTAAGAACTTGTGGAAAATTGATCTAACCTTGCGTCCGAACATGACCTCAGCAGGTGTCTTCGACGTTTCGATGTTTGCATTTGGAGTGACCCTGTAAACTTGTAAGAACTGTTGGATTGACTTATCCGTCGGTGATCCACTAGCCTTTCTCAGGGCTCTCTTGAACGTATCCACGAATCTCTCCACTTGCCCATTGCTTCTTGGATGGTATGGTGGAATGGTTATATGATCGATTAGATAATCCTCGCAGAGATGTTTAAATTTGGTAGACGTGAATTGCGTTCCATTGTCTGTGACAATGCAGTCTACAACTCCAAACCTAGCGAATAGTTCATACAGGAAGTTAATAGCTGCCTCGGATGTGGGTTTCTTGCATTTCAGTACTTCCGGCCACTTAGATAGACTGTCTATAACAATGAGATAGTAGAAACCATCTAACAGTCCAGCAAAATCCAAGTGAATTCTCGACCAAGGTCGGTCCGGTTTTGCCCACGAACCGAATTGAGTCGGAGGAGCTTTCATAGCTAATGCGCATCCTCTATACTCCCTGACTTTTTCTTCTATATCCTTATCCATGTTTGGCCAGAAAACGAAAGAGCGCATAAGGCTTTTCATTCTTGATATGCCTGGATGTCCTACATGGAATTCCTTGAGCATTCTTTTCTGTAATGTCGTAGAAATCACGACCCTGTCGCTATATAACAGGACGTTATCACAAATTGAATAAATTTCCTCATCCAGTTGGTTACTGTTGATTTTTTCTTTCGTGCTTATAATAAATTCGTCCACATCTGCCTTACTCTTAATCTCATCAAGTGTTACCGGAAGTTCTCTTATCGTGTCACATAAAGTATTTTTTACTTCAACTTCCGCTTGAATGGCTGCTATTACCATATCCTCCAATGGTTCTGTGTGCTTAGGTATTAACCTTGATAAGCCATCTGCATGACCAAGTTTTTTAAGATGGTACATACTCCATTTGAAAATTATAATTCAGAAGAATGGTACCCCATCTTTGGAGTCTATTCGCCGTATGTTGTGGTAGTCTCTTTTCGATCCAAAAATCGTTAGTAAAGGTTTGTGATCTGTTTGTAACAGAAATTGTCTACCGTGCAAGAAACGATGAAATTTCTTTACTGCGAATATAATGCTTAGCGCCTCTTTCTCGATTTGCGAGTAGTTCTTTTCGGCTGGTAAAAGTGAACGGGATGCATGGGCTATGGGTTTTATTTTTCCATCATCCATTTTGTGTAGTATGCATGCTCCTATGCCATAGGCACTGGCATCGCTTGCAACTATAATATCACGCTTGGGATTATAATGTGCCAGAAACAAGTCAGACGTTAATATATCTTTAATTCCTGAAATGCTTCTTCGCACTCTTGCGTCCAGACCCATTTTTGGTCCTTCCTTAACAGTTCATTTAAGGGTGATCTTAGTTTATGCATATTTGGCACGAATACATTGTAATAATTCGCCAACCCTAAGAAACTTTGTAGAGACGCAATATTTTCTGGAGCAGGCATGTCGCTTATTGCCCTCGATCTATCTGGATCCGGCCTTCTTCCATGTTCATCGATAATTTGCCCCCAAGTATTTTATTTTTCCATGAAAAGGTACATTTTTTCTGTTTCAGTTTAAATCCATAATCCTGGATCCTTCTGAATACTTGGTTTACATGAGCTTTGTGTTGTTCTTTGCTAGCGCTGTTCATTAACACATCGTCCAGGTACCCTACTGCGAAGTCCAGCCCACTTAACATCATGTCCATTGTTTGCTGAAAAATCGCAGGGCGACTTTGACCCCAAAAGGAAGTCTGTTAAACTTGTATAATCCCTTATGGGTATTGATGCATAGCAGCTTTGAACACTCCTGATCGACTGGGATTTGTAAATACGCGTCACTGAGGTCGATTTTAGAAAAATATTTCCCTCCACTCAGTTTCGCGAATATTTCTTCAGGGCTCGGAAGGGGATAATGGTGATCCTTTAATGCATTGTTTAAACCTGTTGAGAAATCGGCACAAACCCTAATCTCCTTGCTCTTCTTTTTGATGTAAACTGTTGGCGTAGCCCACTCAATTTTTTCGAGGACACCCATGTTTTCGAGTCTTTCTAATTCACCGTCTATTTGTTCTATAGCGGCGTATGGAACCTTTCTTTTTTTTTTGAACACTGGCTGTTCATTTTCTTTGACCTCAAATTTTGCTACCGCTTTTGTACACCTTCCAAGACCGCCTGTAAATACGTCTGGAAAATTCTCTTTTAACTCCTTCTTAAGTTTTTCTGCCTCCATATTCGCATCCTCAACTTTTTGACAAAAAGAGGTTAAAGGCAGATCCAATAGTCTAAATTTTTCGAACAGATCCGTTCCAAAGAGGTTATTTGATTTTCGCATGACAAAAAGTTTCGCTTTTTCGGTCTTATTCTGAAAAGAAATATTCGTCAATAATTCTCCTTCGAAGGTGATTTTTTCACCACTGACGCTTCTCGCCGTTTTATGTGATTTAATCATAGTGGGTCTCCCAAGCTTCTTCCATGTCTGTATATTAATGATGGAAATATCAGACCCACTATCAAGCTGTAGTCTTACTTTCTTTTTAAACATTTTGACCTGTACAAATTTCCGGATATTTCGTTCCTCAGGTTAAATTTTTGTTAGTTTAATGGATGTCTTCTTTCTACCAGATTTTTCCCTACAATGTGATGCCTTATGCCCCTTCCGGTAGCAGTTGTCACATTGTTTGAATTTGTAGGGACATTCATTGTACCAATGTTTATCTCCACACCTCCAACACGGTCCATGTGGATCTTTTCCCTGTGTTTTCCTCTGGTTATTTTTTTAAGTTAAATTTTTCCTCTGATGGACCTTTTTAATGTGCGACACTCCGCTTTCCTCTGTCATGACTGTCCTTTTCAACGCAACAAACCGTTCACAGTCCTCGGCTCATTTTCGCGTTTATTTAAAACACGACGCCTGATCTCAGCGTCTTTACCTAAAACCAGCCCTTGTACAAATATTAAACATTTAAAATTATCTGATGATAATTCCTCCAGTTTAAAATGTCGCAATGCTTGTTTACAATACTTGCATAAGTGGTGTAATCATCTTCTTCTCTTCTAGTGACATTCATACACTTATATCTCCTGTGAAAAAGTTTTTGTAGAAAACAGTCCTGTTCGTAGAGTAACTGTCTCTTGAAAGTTCAACTCACTGGTTTTTTTTGGAAGGATAAAATTCACGAACTTTGTATGCTCGGCAGTTCCCAATTTTCTTAGCAGAAACCTAACTTTTTTAGCGTCTGTCCATGTATAGCAATCCGATACAAAAATATCCTCATATCTTCTATAGAAATGAGCAAACGTGACATCGTCTTCTGGATTATAATTGAAACTTTCAATAGCCGTCTGGGAGAATGCGTTATGATTCTCGCTTGCATTCGTTAACTGTGTTGCCTCCAGAAGTTTCCTCTGTTCTTTCTGTGTTTTCATAAAGATTTGTTCGACGCGTTTCTGTTGTTCCAACAACTCTTTATTAAATTTCTGCTCACTTTCAAGTTGTTGAAGTTTTTGCTTTTGCAACGCGAGACTTTGTTCCGTTTGAAATTTGAACAATTGAAGAAGAGACTCTCTTAACTCTGCGTCCATGGTACGAATTCAATTTACGCACCATACAGTTTACACTTGTATTAACAAATCAGTTTTTCCAAGGCTTGCTTACTAAAATTAGTTTGCTCAACTAATACACAAACAAGAAATATGTATTTCTCGTAAAAAACAAAACAAAAAAAAAAAAATTCGTCGCTTTAAGGAGTGTCGACTAATGGGAAAATCACAAAAATTTTTTCCAACCTCTTTGTGGTTTTGCACAAATATGACTCGAATTTTTAACAGTCTTTGTTAAGCACCAATGACTTACGCGAATATATATTTTTCACTCGACAAATCATTTAACTTTGAAGAGGAGAAAAAAATATCTTACCGTGACAAAAGAAATCTGGTTTCTTGTAAAGAAACAAAAAAAAACAGTGAACCTCTTTTTTCGAAACCCTTCGTGTCGGTATTTTCTACTATAATTGACAATATTATTCACGTTCTCATGTTGTAGACTTTTGGTAGCAAATTTTTGGTTGTTTCTAATATTTTTTTTTTTACGTCGCCAAATTACTATTGTAGTAATTAATTTGCTATTAATCCTTGCGTATCCACATATCTGTTCGAAATGACGAAGGTGTTTTGCCGTAAAAATCTTGCGAATCCTTGTATTTCAATCACTTTAGGTGATTGTCTGCAGTGATATCGTTTCGATTCCGACGTCGCCAATCTGTTGTGTCGTGGCACAATAGTAAAAATAAGAAAATCATGTCGAAGTTGGTTTAAAGAACAAGTGTATTTAACATCACAGATAGAAAAGTAGGAAACGGGTACTACTCAGCTAGGCAGTTGTAGTACTGTCGCGGCTTACACCGGGTAGGTATTACTGGCACTATATATAGTGAGAACCGGTGTAATTCCCTTGTGTTAGAGGCCGGTGCAACAATATTCCATTGTTTCAATTTTATGTTGTCTGCAGTTGCCATTACTTTCCATAGTTTGTGCCCACGGTTTATGCATATGCCTCTGTTTTGAATGTTCTCTACATATGCCATTGTTTTTCATAGTTTGTGCCCACGGTTTGTGCATATGCTACTGATTTGTATGTTCTCTGCAGATGCCATTGTTTCGCATAGTTTTTCCCCACTGTTTTGCCTATGCCTCTGATTGTATGTTGTCTGCAGTTGCCATTACTTTCCATTGTTTGTGCCCACGGTTTGTACAGATGCCTCTGATTAGAATGTTATCTGCATATGCCATTGTTTTTCATATTTTGTGCCAAGGGTTTGTGCATATTCCTCTGATTTTTATGTTGATTGAAGTTGCCATTACCTTCCATAGTTTGTGCCCACGGTTTGTGCCAATGCTTCTGATTTGAATCTTCTCTGCATTTACTATTGTTTCCCATTGTTTGTTCCCATGTTTTGTGCATATGCCTTTGACCTAAATGTTCACTGCATATGCCATTGATTTGCATAGTTTGTGCCAACGGTTTTTGCATATGCCTCTGATGTGAATGCTCTCTGCAGTTGCTAGTATTTTCCATAGTTTTGCCCACGGTTTATGCATATGCCTCTGATTTATATGTTTACTGCATATACCATTGTTTTGCATAATTTATCCACCATTTGTGCCTATGCCTCTGATTTGAATGTTGTCTGCAGTTGCCTTTACTTCCATAGTTTGTGCCCACGGTTTGTGCAGATAACTCTGATTTAAATGTCCACTGCATATGGTATTGATTTGCATATTTTTTCCCCATGTTTTTTGCATATGTCTCTGTTTTGAATGCTCTCTGCATATCCCTTTTTGCATAGTTTGTGCCCACGGTTTTCTGCAGTTGCCAATATTTTCAATAGTTTTTGCCCACGGCTTTTGCATATGCCTCTGATTTGAATGTTTTCTGTAGATACCATTGTTTTGCATATTTGTCCCCACGGTGTGTGCCTATGCCTCTGATTTGAATGTTCTCTGCAGTTACCATTATTTTCCATAGTTTCTGTGCATGGTTTGTGCATATGCCTCTGATTTGTATGTTCTCTGCAGGTGCCATTTATTTGTATAGTTTTTGCCCACGGTTTGTTCATATGCCTCTCATTTGTATGGTCTGTGCCTCTACCATTGATTTGCATAGTTTGTTTACATGCCATTGTTTTGCATGGATTTTGTATATGCCTTTTATTTGATAAAGAAATTAAAATTTTTCAGTTTTTTATATAAGTGTTGTTTTTCCTTTTTGATATTATTATTATTATTATTATTAGTTTTCCACCAAATTTCTCTGATAGAACTCTAATTCTTTCCTAAGAATTCTAGTTGCGTTTTTCTCAGTAGTTTTAATTATTCTCGTATTCCCAATCCTTCTAAACATTTTCTCACAAGTGCTCCCGTAACCAAGAGTGAATTTTTCCCCATTTACCTATCATCGCAACTGATCTTTTTGTTCTTGTTCTTCTTGTTCTTTTTCTTTTTTTCGTATTGTTAATATTTGTATTGATTTAACGTCCATCTTCATTTTCTCTCTGTTTGAATCTTGTTATTGTCTTTTTCTCTTCAGTAACTTTTTCTCAGCTTCTTTTCCTCTCACTAAATACTTGTATCTTAGTGGCATTATCGCCTCGCTTCGAGTGAAATGATTTTAATTAGGAGAAAGAACAATTTATTTTCGCTTGAAAAGAGTGAAAATTCAGCTTTTTACTTCTTCACATATTCACTACGTAGATGTATTCTCTGAATAAATTTAAAATGGCGCAAGAATAAATGTTACAACTAATATTTTTGATTGTATTTCAGATACAACATCATTTACCAGTTGGAATTTGATTTTTAAAATTGGTGGTGATGGAACCAACGATGAAGTAAATGTCACTTTAGTCGGAACAGCAGCAACGGCTGGAACTGTAATTGTTTGCAATAACACATGTGAAAAAAAAAGCGAAAGCAATTTTACTTTCACAACAGTTCATATCGGATTGATCGAGAATATACACTTGAACATATTAAACAAAGACAAATGGGATCTTGAAGAGGTAAGTTTCAGATAATTATAAATATATCTTATTATAGGTCCTTTTTTTAAAAAATTCATTATACACCACTTTTATGGAAATATCTTCATTAGAACAGGTTTCCCCCACTATCCAAAATAGTGCCTATCGTAAAAGAAATTACCAGTGATTTATATGATAAAATAATTTTGAACATTAAAAAAATCTTAAAGATCTTAAAGTGGAGAAAGAAAGAATCTGCTTGTGATTGAAAGCATAAAAACCCATCTGTGAATCATGGTGGAGACAGTTCCTGGGTTTGGGTTTGCATAGCTGCTTCCCAAACAGACTCATTCATATTTGTTGATGATGTAACTCATGATGGTTGCAGCAGAATTAATTCAGTAGTGTACAAAAACATTTTGCCTAGTTACATCCCTTACATAGAGACGCTTGTTTTGAAAAGAATTGCACAACAAACGAGACAAGATTATTATAAAAATGAATAGATATAATATATATATATATCCATACAGTATATCAAAAATATATTTACAAACTCTGGGGGAGGGTTCCTCACGCCAAAACAAGGACAAAAGTCCATATAAACATATGTGTGTAAATCTTTCGTTTCTGAGTTTAAAGAAAGTTTAAGGCAGATAGCACTGTGCTGCCATGTGGACTAGGTTACAATTCTTATTTGTGTACATTTGTGGCTAGTCTCTCTTCAACGATTAACGTGTGTAGTAGTGAGTTAACTGAGAAGTGTTCCGTTTAACATTGGCAATATATAACCGCACTAACGGTAATGAGTCTGTACAGTTGTATCAGATTACTTTCCCAGACCGAAGGCAGCCGAATCATCCAACCTTTATTGCTGTTTATCGTCGCGTTGCTGAGGCAGGATCCATGGCATCACAAACCAAAGAAGACCAAAGAAGACTGAGAATCGCTCGTACGCCTGAAAAACGTACATTCTACAGGCTGTCAGGTACAGGTTTCAGTACATGTCAAGTGGCCCTAGCATGCCGTATTCTCATAATACCACATGGGGGTACTTTAAGAGCAGCTCCTGTATTCTTATCATTTCAAACGTGTGCAGGATCTGATCACTCACCACGCGAGAACTTTTGTCGATGGTTTATTACACAAACTGCTGATCCGTTGTTTGTCTCTTCAGGCTTGTTTACGGATGAGCTAACATTTGGAAGAGATTGAATAACAAATTTACATAACCAACACTTGTGGGCGGATCAGAATATAGGCTAGACAGCAGAATCAGTTTACGATTAATGTGTTGGCTGGAATTGTAGATGACTTTCTGGTAGGTACATATGTTCTCCAGCATATCTTACAGGGTCTTTATTTCGAACACACTTCCAGACCTGTGCTAGAGGACGTACCCCTGCTAATACGAATACGAATGTGGTTCATACATGATGTGGCTCCAGCACGTTTTAGTCACATTCATTGCGATGCATTGATTGACATCTACTATGAAAGATGGATAGGTAAGGGAGGACCAGTTCCATGGCTTGCACGTTCCCGCGAAGTCAATCTTTTGGATTTTTATCTGTGGGGCCACGTAAAAAATTCTTTTCTGCAGCAGAAATTAATAATACAGAGACACTTAATCAACGTGTCATGGGGTCTTGCAAAATCATTCGAACCAGTGTGGGAGAATTTGAAAGGGTCCGTCAATCAATGATCAGACGAATGCATGTATAAGTGGAAGGAAGCGGAAGACATTTTGAATATTTCCTATGAGTTGCTGTTTACAACGATGGCCTTTTGAACCTATGTTTATATGGACATTTTAGCTTGTTTTAGTGCCAGGAACCCTCCCCCAATTTTTGTAAATATGATAGACCCTGTATATTGTTATGCGGTTGAGCTCATAGTTTATTGTGTGATTTCGGGTAAAAAGTAAGGGCTAACAGGAAGTGATAAAAACGCCATAACTAATCCAAAATAAACCATGATTAAAAAGGCAACTAACACAAATGGTGAGTAAGACAAATAGAGGCTTTGTACTGTGGTAACAGATTATATATATATATATATATATATATATATATATATATATATAAGATGAAGAAATATAGTTTTAAGGTATGCTATATTTATGGGATAAAGTGCCCAATATCAGAGATAGAGCGTAGGCAAATATAAATATAAAAGTGAACATTGAAGTCAACACTCAGCGGCGACAGGCTGTTTCATGCTGGACGCAATCCTCAGGCCGCTATATATATATATATATATATATATATATGTGTGTGTGTGTGTAATTCTGTATGGATAATTACGTATATTACGATGTTGATTATTTGAGGTTGATAACGTCCCCAAAATATATTCTTTGAAAATAATCTTAGTTATATGATACAGAAGATAATAAACATGTTCCATGTGTTAATTGTTGAAATCAATTGCACCAACTTGATGATGTTATTTGCTTTGATGTGTGGCTGCCACATAAGCAGAGAAAAGGTAATCAAAAATTATTTAACTGTAGTTGCGTGTGATATTTATGATGAACTTACTGAAAATGTTCTGTTTTGTGATTAGTGATGAAAAGTGAGTTAAGATGGCTACCAATCTAGAGAAAATTCTAGTGGTTCTTCTTAAGCAGTTGTCCTTAACCCTGAGTTAATCACGATCTGAGTAAATCTGTTTAACCGATGCCCGAAGGAAAAAAACCTTTCCCTAAGTTTGTGAAAAGTGACACGTGTAAAAGCTTTGTTTTCAAGAATGCCGATGAGCATTTATCAGCCGCCTCGGTGTTACCAGCAAACATTTTGAGTCTATAAGCAACGTATTGATTGTTGATTACCTCAATAGGGGCAATCTCTTGAGCAACAATACAGATTTCGATAGGCTTGGTTCACTGCTGATATCCTGTCATTACTCAAAGAATTAGGAAGTCATTAGACCATAAATACATCTCAAGGACGATTGCATTAAATATATCCAAGGTATTTGACAAAGTGTATCATAGATGATTGCTATATAAACACTCACACTCTGGCAGTATTCCATTTTCGGCCTGATGCGGCATTTGCAAAGCGAGAGGATAAGAGGAGGAGGAGTAAGTTACTTACTGGAGCGCTACAGGCAATCAACCATTATTCCAGCATCTTTAGCGATTTGCCCTTGAGGTTTGGGGTAAAATTCAGTTCACTTTGAACTTGGCCAAGAAATTTCACTAACTTGCTCTATTCCTTAGATATTTTGATTTTCCTTCGCTCCTATCTTTATGTAAGTATTTCTATTATTTATAGGCTTGTCGGAAAGGCAAATTCTATAAGTGATTCAAGGGCCCATTTTTTAAAAAATTTTTTGTATGTGTTTTAATCCTGGTATTTTTTGTGTCATTTTTACAAATCTTTTTAACAAAAGAAACAAGTTTATATTTGCTCCTTTTTTGCAGATAACAATTACAAATTTAGGCACATCTGAAGTCGATCAATGCAAATGGCAGTCTTCATCTACCTTGTATCACACGTGTACACTCAGTAAGTATGGCAAAATAAATAAGTGTTGAAAATCTTAAAATGTTGACTATGATAATATAAATCTTCAACAATTCACTTAAAAGATAATAGAACATAGAATTTTAAAAACTACTTTTATGTACTATGAATATCTTATTAAGATCGAAGCTAAAGAAACTTTTTGTATTGGTTTCTTTAAAAATATCCTCTGCTTTTTTCGATACATAACATTAAAAGAGTTTACAGAAATTCCATTTAAAGAAATCGCATTTGATAATATGATTAGAGAAAACTTACCAAAATTCATTTGGCTAGAAATGTGTCAAAACAATAATTTCAGTATATTTTGAACTTTAGTTTAAGAAAGCTAAAACTATGACTCAAAAACCAAGATAAATAAATAAACTTGCAGAGTTTATGAAGAAGGTACAGTGAATGATCGAACGTGTTAAAAATGGTTTTCCAAGTTTCGAATGGGTGATTTCTCACTAAACAATGTTCCACGATCTGCGTAAACCAAATGCGGTTGATAATGAAATATTACTTGAGAAAACGATACAGAAGCTAACAAACATATTCCAAATATAAATTACTAGCAGCATGGCCCGGCGTTGCCCGTGCTTGATTAAAAATCATACGACTCATACAGCAATCGCTATCACTTGACTTAAAATATTTTTGCCCTTCCTTGCTTTTAAAGGAGTGCCCTTGCCGTACTGATGTTGCTACATGCCTTACTTCTTGCCTATCTCACACTGCGAATTTTTTATAAGTTCTATACTAAACATTAAATCTGTTATGAAAAAAGAACTAAACAAAATGAACAAAAAATGATCAGCTTTAAGAAAGACTCGTAACTGGAAAAACCGAATGAAAAAATAATGTTAACAACAAATACTTTTTCACACCCAACCCAGTTCTGCGGAATCAGAATCAACGTTGAGTTTAAGCAAGCGAATGAGCCAATTGGAATAAAGTGCCATGCAGATTTAAATTTTTCCCACTTGTGACGAATGCAGCTATCGATTCTTTTTTGCATGCTAGCATGCTAGTTAACATTCGTGTCAGTCAGCTGTTGGCTCTCACGCTGGCCGATAGAATCTTCCTGCCTATTCGTAGCAGCCAGCTATAGGCTCTCACTATAGCCAGTAGAAAATGGCCGCAAACTACATGAAAACTGCCGTAGAAGCATGAAAAAAATCGATTATTTCCACTATCGATGGGAGTTGGGAAATGCAAAGTCGGTCTTGGCCTTTCCGCTAACTTGGAGCATGTGCATGTAAATTTTGGTGCAAATCATTCGAAAATTGCGGCCGTGCAGTCGTTGTACACACACACATCCCGCCTTTTATAGATAGAGATTGAAAAGCATTTACACCAGTTTAGTGATGTTAGTCGCTTTTTTCCAATAGATTTTTTTTATTTGTTGCTTCCACAGAAGCAACAAATAAAAAAAATCTATTGGACAAAAGTTCCTTTCAGATTCGCGACTAAGATATAAGAAAAATCTCCTGTTTTGGATGAAAAGTGAATAAGAAAAAAAAAAGACATAACCCTAACCCTAACATCTCCATTTCAGCAGGTTTGACACTGCTTCTCCTCCACATTTTGAAACTTTTCATTTTCAACGTCATATGGCTTCAGAAAATTGATATTCTCTTTGACGTCCCCGACTGCATTTATTTTTACACATATGTTGATTTCTAATACATACATTTTCTACATAAGAATTCCTGGGGAACAAGGTTTGAAACAATGTCAAAGTAAAGATTTTTTTTTTATAAGTGTACTTTTGATTTACATATAATTTATTAGCGTTGTATTCAGGCACACCATTTAGTATCTACGAATGATTGAGTGACCTCTCATATTGCAGTGGGCTTTTCAGTTATGTTTGATATTGCCAATCTGTTTATTGCTTTCATCACTTCATGCATCAGCTGTGAATTGAAGGATTGATTTGGAGACTTAAAATCATCCATTGATTTCATTACGAAATTCCATCTCGACTCAACCCCGACTTTTAAGTTGCATTACAATTAGGTAAAAAAATCTTCCAAAAATGTTTAAGACTTTGCCATTTTTAACGAAGATATTGCCTTCATATCAAAACTATAAAGAACAACGGCGTAAAGTGGGTCAAACTCCTTGGAATTGACCCCTCCCTCCGGTAAGAGAAAACATGCTCGACAAATATCACCGGACGGTCATCCAGCGGGTGTCTTCAATAAACAAAAAAATAATTCTAGAGACAAGGAAAGTCAAGAAAACTAAATCAATGTGACCAGTTTAAAAAAAATATAAATATTTACTTTTTTTATAAAAAGTTTTATTGTAAGCTAGACAACTTAAAGGTTGAATGTAAATCTGAATAAATTACAATCATCCTGAATACGAAAATAGGCAAAAAGAAAGATGGTGAAATGGTTGGTAAATTCTAATTAGGAAGCCGTAATGAACGCGGAGAAAAATTGGATCCAATGTTGAACGGCGAATGGTCAGGTAATAGAGAACAACTGGTTTCAAAAATCTAAGACGTATATCGAGAAACCCAGGTGGAGAAATGAAAACCAAATCGATTATATAATTATCAATAAGAGATTCAGGAATGCAGTTTTACATTACAAAAGATACCCAAGTGTCGACTGCATGAGTGACCAGCTTTCAGTGATATATAAACTTAGAATGAAACTCTACGGAAATTGAAGAGGGCCAAGGTAGCAGCCAAATTGCAATACGAAAGACACCTGAATGACCCGAATGTGAAGGAGAAATATATGGAGAGTGTTAAAATCAAATGAACAAAATGAGAAAGGAAATTAAAAGTGGGGCACATTAAGAGAAGCTTTAGTAATGACAGCAATCGAAATCATTGCAGAGAAAATTAGACAAAGATAAAAAGGAAAGGATTACATGAAATTCTCGACATGATGAATAGGAGACAAAAAACAATGCCAAGATACGGCACAGAATATAAAACATTGCACAAATGAATTAGGAAGTAATGCATGCAGGCTAAAGAGGAATGACTCAATGAAAAATGTGCAGAAATAGAAAGAATGAGTATTACGGATAAAGTAGATATGCATAAAAGAATAAGAGAATTAAGAGGGCAAAATACATGCTTATCAACAGGATGCATAAAATCCAGAACACTGATAATAGAAAAAGAAAAATACTTCAATCTCTAAAGTATCTGAACGAATACATCGGAGAATTCTTCCACGACAAAATAGGACAACCGTCTATAGAGAAAAATATCGAAGGGTTGAAAATATTAAAATCTGAAATGAAATCAGGCGGAATTGGAATTGAGATGCCGACAGCCTGAGATGATTTCACCATTAAAATAGTATAAAGCTTTGGATTTTGTTGTTGCAAATAAACTTAAATTAAATTAAAGAAATTAGCATGCCTTTTGCTTCTTTTCTGTGCTGTGTCCCTTTCAGACATTGGGGATCATGGCTCTCCACAATTTCCTCTCCTTTGTAGCTCTTAGTAAATATTATCTTTTTGCTATCTCTCCTAAACTCTGTTCTGCCAATCATTTATATAAGATCGTTAGGCAGCGGTTATGCTCTATTTTGCTCTGTTCCTTTGCTATCCAACATTTCATGTGAGTGTTAAATTTTCTAAGCCTTCTTTCCTTATTATGTGCTGTAGAAATTTCAGCTGACTTTTCTGATGTTAAGCAAAAGTGATTTTTTGTTTCCATTTTTTCTATAACTTCGTCGTTGCTAACTTGTTCATTCCATAGTATTCTCAGCATCCTTCTGTAGAACAACATTTCTACTGCGCCAAGTCTTTTCTTCATCTGTAAGGATATTTCCAGAATTCAATGCCATATAGGAAGAATTTTTGTGTTCTGTACAAGATAATCTGTACATTTATATCTTTAGATTTGCATTGATTTCTTTAACAGTCTTATTTTAGATAGAATGCGATTTAATAGAAGTAATACCAATTATAACAAAAGTAATATATTATTTTCATTACATTTTTTAAAGTTTCATCTACAACTCTCAAAATGACGTCACCATCCGTCACAGCCATGTCATCGACGTTGATATTGACGACAATTACTGATAAGCAAACAAGTCTCCAAACGAGTAAGTATTTCTTTAATTCAATGAAAATCACAAGATATTAATTACTATTTCTATCTGAATATCAATCTTTGGATAAATCTCACAAGAACTTTGAATGTTTCTGCTTTTACTCGTCTTCAATTTACAAATCAGTTTCCTGTGTGTTGGCTTCCACCATTAATATAAAAGAATAAAGCAACAACTACAATTTTCAAAATAGAAAAGAAAAATATTTTTTGAAGAGAAATTAAAAAAAATTCAAACTCAGTTTTTAAAATGATTGTGCATACACGCACATGTTCATCAACGGAAGCAAGGCTTTCTTCATCAGTCATTGCTCATTCATCTATCATTGAGAATAATGTATTCCAAGTAAATAAAGCAAATATTTTATTCGGCTGAAACAACTGAGAAATGAAAATACTTGTAAAACTTTGGAAAGATATTTTTAATTAACTTTCTTTCCTTTTCACCAAATAGTATCAACCTGCTTGACCGGTCATGTAACCGGAAACGGCTAGTCAGAGAAACCAAGGCATTACATAGAAGTATTTTGGAATAGACTCTACGAAGTCATGCGGGTAAAACACAGTCACTTGTAACATAATGTGCTCGAGTGTTAACTAAATACAAATTTTTATAACATCAACTTGGCTTCCTTTACAGGGTCGGAGAGAAGACATGTAACAAATTTCTACACCTGTCTTTATTCCGTACCTGACTTTATTCCACATATTTGGCTAAATATGTGTATTGGGGGTAGATACTACAAAGGTCGCGTACATATATTTGGTAACCTCAAGAGGTTTCATCTGAAACCCTTCAAAGTCTGTTGCATTTCTATGGCTGAGAAAAAAAATGAGGTTTCGACATTTTATATGCGAGAAATTTTTGATAGTCATCTTTGATATTTGACTAATATTTTTTTTATTTTTCAGTAGCGACGTGCTATTCAGGTTGGATAAATATCGAAGGCTTATGTTATAGAATTGTCAACCGAAAAGAAGATGTCAACAACGCAAAAGACAGTTGTGGAAGTGATACAATTGTGTCTACAAAAATACCAGATGAATTAGCAGACATGATCGGCTATGATGAAATTATCTGGACGAATAGATCTGTAAGTGCCTACCTTAATGGTTGTCAAATTTTGTTGAATTCTGGGAAGATCGAAAAAATAACAGTATGTCGAAGAATTTTCTAAACTGGAATTAAACTAAAAGAAGACTTTCTAGTGTGCTATGTCGAAGAGAAAAACATCTAGTTCAGTATAGGATTACATTTGTAGGATAATCAGTGATGATCGAATACATTTCAAAAGAAATTGTCTGTGAGGCAACTTTGTTGATTATTGTTTCATGGCAACGCCTCCTTTCATATTTATACTAAAGTTAGCTTTGGTCTTTCCAGATAGAGAGATATCTGTTTGAAAAGAAAATCTTTTTAGGGAAATTTATTAATGAAAAGTTCTTCCTAATAAATGATTCTTTATAATAAGCAATTCTTCCAAATAAGCAATTATTCCTAATCAGCGATTCTTCTAACTAATAATAATAATAATAATAATTCATAAGTAATTCTTCCTTATGCAATTCTTCCTAATAAGCGACACTCCCTGTTTATTCAAACCGACATTTGTCATTATTTTTGCTTTTTACTGGAGATGAAAACATGTCCAATCTGTAGTAAAAACCTAATTCTTATTTTCTGTTGTTTTTTTTTAGGGACAACTCCAAGGTAAGGAATAATTTCAAATTTTTATACTTCACATAATCCTGTCAATAAAAATATATTTTAACAGATTATTTTATGAATTTTTTATTTGAATATGTGGAAATAAATAGTTATTCCAAATATTGAATATTACTTATAATGACTTTATTAGAATTCATTCGTTGACAGACTATATATATATATATATATATATATATATATATATATATATATATATATATATATATATATATATATATATATATATGTTGCATTAAAAACGACAGATAAGGTACTACGGTTAATCTTTTTATTTAATTTTTCTTGTGTTCGAACAAGAGCTTTCTTTTCTGGACAAAGGGTGTGTAAGAACTGTCCAAATGTTTTATATTTCCGAGCGCTTTCCGCTACACATTTAGCCATTATCAAGAATAATTCAATTTTTCAGCTTAATTGAGTGCGTGCATTCTGTGTATGTCTTAGTGTGTAGTAGGGATGTTTTAATTTCCGAATACAGTTAGTACATTGTGGCTTTTGTTTGTAGTTAATATTGTTAAGAGTTGGCTTTTCTTTTTTTATTGTTAAAGCTTCCATTATTTTTTAGACTTTTTTTTGCAGGTGGATGCAGTTAATATATTTGTGTTTTCTACTAGTATGTTTCTAATGGAGTATGGTAAATTTTGTGTGTGTTTTAAATGGGTTCTAATGGAGCTGTGATCAAATCGGTGTAACGTAAGACGTCTGGATAAACGTTACACCTATCTGATCACCGCTCCATTAGAACCCATTTAAACACACACACAAATTAACCAGACTCCATTAGAAATATACTAGTATATGTGTGTGTGTGTGTGAAAAACTTTCGAGAAGGGGGATTTCATCTTATTTAATTCAAACCCGACTTCGTGTTGTATCTGAAACCGGTATCAATGCCTCAAGCACACTAGAGGAGCTTAGGTCGGTAATCTTAGATCGAATACCTGAGAAGATTGATAATATCCTTATTGAATTTCCCTCGGTTAGCGTTCATATCTGCCGTGACTTCAATATCCACCATAAAGAATTGTTAGTCCACTTTATAAAAAAAAAAAACGATGATGAAGCCAGATATTGCAGAGGCTTCTCCATCGCCTATAAACTAACTCAGATCATCGAAGAACAGATCCGTGTCCCGGACATCAGGCGATGGGACATCAGATGAACATCCCCGACCTCTTTCTAAACGATCTGGACCGAACTACCACCAATCAGGATGAACGGATGTCCCCTACCCCGATGAGACACCGTGTCTTGAAAGATTATTGGGCCTCAAACTCTCACCAACCAATATGTACATGAGATCCATTGCTAAGGATGCAGGTAAAATGGCCTTTCCAGAAGTACCTGACTCCTCATGATATCTTCTACTTTCAGGCCAAAAATGAAGTACTGTTGCCATATTTGGGTTGGATCTATCCAGATGTCACTCTCCAGCCTTGATAGCGCCCAAAAGCATCTCCGAGCCCTTGTGGGTGAAGAAATATTCTCCGCCCACCAACCTCTCTTTCAGAGACGGGATGTGGCAAGCCTCTTGCTGCTCTGCCGCTACCTTGACGGAAAGTGCCCGAAAGAACTATATTCCCTGGTCCCGCCAATTCATACCTTCACGGCAAGGATACACCATGCCACTTACATAGTAGCAAACCACCCACATACCCCCGCCCCCCGTATGTGAGATGTTTCCTCGATTACTACAACTTAACATGTTCATAGCTAGGGTCAACTGTTATCTTCCACTCCTAACGTAAACCTCTGTTCCGAGTGGCCCACGGGCCTTGTAAACGGTGATCCTTACTGTAAAAAACAATAAAGCAAACAAACAAAAAAAAAGAAAAGAACTCATTCGCTGATTTTAAGCTTTATAAGTCTGAAAATATCTCTCTTTGATTTTATATGCCATTTTGTTAATAGTGACACATCTATCTATCTATCTATCTATCTATCTATCTATCATAATCTGTTCATTTCACTCTCTCATTATCAAAATATGATTATCTTTCTTTTTTCTTTCTTTCTTTCTTTCTTTCTTTCTTTCTTTCTCCTAACTAAAAATGTTTTTTACTTCTTACCGATTATCAAAATGGTTTTACTCAGTAAAATCTTGAAATGGTTATAACGTCTTTTTCAGCTTGTCAGATGAAGAATCTTTCCGTATGTACAACTTCTGGCAAATATAATTCTCTATGCTCCAGAGAAGTGATAAATGGTAAATATATATAAAAACTGTTATTTATTTACATTTTTCAATTCATTTGAATTCCGGAGATCATATGAATCTTTCTCTTATTCAATCAGCGAAAAAAGAAATTTGAAATGTTACGCTATTCCTTGAAAGCATTATGCAAATCAGACAACATTGGGGCTTTAAAGAATGGCATTAAAGAATATTGCATTCTAAGTGGTTGCATTTCTTCTTGTGAGCCTGAGGTACTTTTGTGTGTTTCGAAAATCTGGAGGACCTTGCATAGTCAATTTGGTCGGAGAGGCGCTGAGGTACGTCTTTTATGTGTGACACGTTTCATTCATTAGGATTTCAACAAACCCATTCTGATGAAGTCCTAATGAATGAAACGCATTACAAATTAACTTTTCCAATTTTGTCTTTCACTTTCCTCAATATATATATATATATATATATATATATATATATATATATATATATAATAATAATAATAAAAAGGCTTAAACACAAATATTCCATGGTCATAATTTATTCCATTGGAATCGTAAATACGATCAATTCATCAGACCTAAAATTCAAAAAAAACAGAAAAAAACAACCCCGGAAATAAAAATAGAATTTAGAGAGAGTGTAAGTATGAGTGTGGGACGAATGTTAGACCTGAAGAGAGGGGTAACAGACGAGAGAATGTGGGAGATTAAACCTTAACAGAGAGAAGTTTTAGAGAGGTGAGTGGAAGAGGTTTAAGTGAGAGAAATATGAATGTTGTCGGATGTCTAATACATTAAAGATGTAACCGTAAATGATACATTTCTTGGTGACATACAGACACCATAGACGATCTAATCTTAAAGATCAGAAGAAGAAGGAGGGAGAGGAAAAGTAAAAGGTACATAAGTACATATATATATATATATATATATATATATATATATATATATATATATATATATATATATATACACACATATACATACATATATTCTCACATACATATATATACATACACATACAAACACACACATACACATACATGTATACATATAACACATACATACATATACATCCATACACATCCACTCCTACGTATATATACAGATTTATACACATATATACATACGGACATCCACATACGTGCACATAAACATACATACATAAAACCTTACATCTCCATACAATTGCATACACCCATCTAAACAAATAAACAATGTATCCCTATATCTATCCGTCTAACTATATATACACACATATATATATACGCACATATACACCCATATACAAATATATATGAGTACATACATACCAAAACACATACACACATAAACACATATACATCAATCTACATATACATACATCCATATACGCATACATAAATATACATATACATCTATACGCATACATATACATCCATACATACACATACATATACCTATATAGACACCTACATATATACACATATACACACATACACACACAGCTACGCACATATATATATACATATATATTAAAATTCAAAATCTAAAAAAGTAAAATTTCAAAAATTTGTCTCAAAAAAAAAAAATTTAATATATCACATAAACATACACAATGATATATATAGAGATAAACATAATAAACATAATAGTCATTCCATTAAAATGTCATGCCCGAAGTTATTGAACCAAGATGGAACTGAAATAAGTGACATGTTACAAAAAGGTTTTTATGTTTTGAATCGTTTCTTAGGTCTACATTTAGAAAATATCTCATTACGAAGATTCAGCAGTTCATCTTGATTCTTATCTTTGATAATAAAATTTTTTTCCTCCATGCCCAGATCACACCGATCGCGGAAGTTATTAGGTGTTCTAGCTCTCGATAAGTATCTCCATTTCAAAAGTGGCGTTAGCCCCTTATACACCAGATACAAGTAGTGTTTAGATAAGGAAGTTTGATTTCTGGGGCATCTATATCTAAATAAGCGTTTATGGTTGTATAGACGCTGCTTCCAATCACCTGCGGATATACCTATTTATATTTTTTTCTGGTCTATATTTACCCCGGGAAAGATTGTTGCCTCGTATACTACATTTTCATACTTACATTTACCCCCGATTGGACAATGGTCTTTATTCCTAAAATTGCAGGTAGGGTTACTAGATTGAGTTTCATTACTATGGTAGTTTCTAAGTATTCTACAATTATGGGAAGATATGATTTTCCACATATTTCTAACGCATGGGTAACTAATTTTCAGTGTCTTCCTACTGAAAATTTTACGTAGTGGGTGTTTACTATGAAGATGTTTATTAATTAATTTCAGAAAGAAACTTCCATGCCTATATGTATGTATGTATGCGTATATGTTATTGTGTATGTGTGTATACGCATGTGTTTTTGAACATAAAAATATAGGTCCTTGCTAGATTAGATAATCGTTATAGTTATTTTTTATATGTTTATATTTGATTTGTAAACTGTAGTCGATATTAATTTTGTCAAATTTTCCTAATTACACAGCGGCCCTTTCAGTAAATGCCCTTCAGTTTTAGTTTTCCCCGCCCCATCTCTCCCCCCCACCCCTTTTTCTTTTCTTTTTCTCTCTTCTTCTTCTGATCTTTAACATTAGATCGTCTATGGTGTCCGTATGTCACCACGAAATGTATCCTTTACAGTTACATTTTTAATGTATTGAACATCCGACAACATTTATATTTTTCTCACTTAAACTTCTTCAACTCGCCCCTCTAAAACTTCTCTCTGTTAAGGTTTAATCTCCCACCTTCTCTCGTCTGTTACCCCTCTCTTTATCTCTAACATTCGTCCCACACTCTCATACTTACACTCTCTCTAAATTCTATTTTTAATTTCGGAGTTGTTTTTTCTGTTTTCTTTTTGAATTTGTAGGTCTGATGAATTGGATCGTATTTACGATTCCAATGGAATAATTTATGACCATAGAAGATTAGTGTTTAAGCCTTTTTATTATATTCTTACTCTGGACATTGTGTTCTACCTGGATTCTATCCTCTTGGAATTTTTTATTAAAAAAATATACATATATGTGTATGCACCTATTTATATATATTTATATATTTTGCATATGTATGTGCATATTTACCACTAATATTACTTATATATATATATATATATGCAAGTTTAGTTATAAACAACTGACAAGATACTGAAGTTATGTTTTTATTTAATTTTTCTTGTGTTCTTATAATTTTCTAGACATAAATTATGTAGAAATTATCCGAATATTCCGTATTACCAAGCGCATTCGTGTATACATTTAGCCACTACAAAAATGATTTCATTTTTAATTTCAACTGAATATATGCAAATTTTATGTATTTAGCTGCAGTTATAGGAAAGTTTTATTTTCCAAACACGGTCAGTGGCCGTGTACGTAGTTGATGTTAATGAGTGTTGATTTTTTATCTTTTTCCTTAAAAAATGCCTTCATTATTTGTAGCCTTTTTTTTTGCAAGTCGATGAGGTTATTATATTTTATTAACAACAAGTAGGTTGGGGATACAGTTTGGTGCGTCTCCATGTATATTTAAATGAGCCTTAATTGAGCGATGGTCAGAGAGATGTAACGTGAGTCTTGATAATGTTCAAGATATAATATATATAATTATTTCCACAAATAGTAAATAGAAAAATATAAGAAGAAAAAGTAATTAAAAAACTTCAACTTGTCAGTCGTTTTTATACGTTATTTTTATAGATAGCTTTTTATAGAATCCATTTATTTAGGTAAATGCTCTGTTTTTTTAATTAAACAATATTAATTAAATTTACCGTCATGAATGTTCGAGAAATTTCGTACAAAATATGAATTCTCTCAGATCATTCGAACCTGTATTCCTTTACGGAAACCGTCATTTGGCCTGACGTGCTGTACTATTCAGCTACAGAGAAGCGTCAGATTTGCAAAATCCGAATTGCTGTTAATAAACACACAATAATAGATGGTGCCGTGGTTTTGATATGTTTCGTTGCGAATAAGGTTGTAAAACTGGAAAGAGATGTTGACTGGAATTGCACCTTTCCAGTCTGTTGTTATTATAGACAGGACACCGAACGATGGAATCTAGTCATATAATATTATTCTTGCAATGGTTTCTATTGAAATATCCTTAAATAGCAAAACACCTGACAATATTGTTATTATTGATGGGACATCGAACGATGGAATCTAATCTTGTAATATGATTCTTGAAATGGATTCTATTGAAATAACCTTAAATAGCAAAGCAGCTGTCAATATTGTGAATATATCGACGATAATGAGGATATATGTTTAAGCGCTGTCATATAGATATGGAAAGATATCAATGTATGGATTAGAAAATCGTGTGTGTGGCTTATCAAAATTCAGTTTTTTTTGTATGTCTATGAATCATGTGTCTTGTAATATGGTTATTGTAATAGATTCTATTGAAATATCCTTAAAAAGCAAAACAGAATTCATTCTTGATATTGGAGATGGGACTGTGACACTATTTAGCGTTTGGCTAACTAATTAAGTGTGAAAATTAAAAGCAAGAAATACTTAAGGCGAGAAGAAGCTATCACGAAAGACATACTGAGCGATATTATTTTTCTTTAACAAAGAAAAGTAGTAAAGATTTTATTTTCATTTGGGAAGAAAAGTATTTTTTTCGCAGAAGATAGGAAATTCGTAAGATTTCGGATCTGTCAGAATTATGCTATGACGCGGCGAATAAAAGATAGCAATCTGCCCATGGCAATAATGAAAATTTCAAATTGGTCAAGTGACTTACAAAGCAGAAGGCTAGAAGATAATCAGAATTAGGTCGAGCATCGACCGAGAAAGGGATCAGCTGAGACCACCCCAAAGAAAAAGGGAGGAGGAAGAGAAAAAGGAAAAGAATAAACCATTAACTATCTTTCGGAGATATCATTTGGTTTTGGAAATTTACCACCTGTTTTATGTCCAGACCTTGCCATGATAAAAGTTTGTTACCTGGACAGATTGTTGGCGGCAGAAGTACGAAGGCGTTGATGATAAA